ATGAGTGCTGCTGCACTAGAAAGGAATAGGAAGCTGACCTGTAGGTCTAGGCAACACAGCGCAACTGAAACCCCAACGCCTTACGCCAAAGGCGTTTTTTCCCGAAAGTATGTGTTTTCCTCCTATTTCAATTAGCGGGACCCACAGTTGGAACATCGGCAGATTCACGCTTGTCCGGCTTTAAATGCAATCTTAGCGCGGGAGTGCGGCCTAGAAATCGGGAACTTTCAAGGGTTGAGGGCTGAAACATATGGTGGGGGGGGTTTGTTTCGGGTTCAAACCGGACAACCGTGCATCTGCCGACGTTCTAACTGTGGGCCCCGTTAATGGAAGCAGGACGAAAATTCACGCTTGTTTCGCTTAAGGCGCAGGGATTTTAGTTGCAGCTGTGTTGTCTAGCCCTAGAGGTCAGCTTGCTCTTCCTTCCTAGCGCGGCAGCACTTATTTTACCCTCACCGGAGGGGGGGGGGGGAAACTGGGAAATGGCCTGGACATCGGCAACTTTGAGGTTGGGGGCTGTTTAGGGGCAAAACCACAGCTACAACTAAAATCCCCGCGCCTCAAGCTAAACACAATTCTTCAAAAGGCATGTGGTGTCTTCTTGCTTCCATTAGCGGGGCCCACAGTTAGAATATCGGCAGATGCACGCTTGTCCGCTTGAACCCCAAACAGCCCGCCTCCGTGCGTTCTAGCCTTCAACTCTCAACGCTGAACAAACCCGAAGTCAGCTTCCTATTCCTTTCTAGTGCGTCAGCACTTTTTTTAATCTCACCAAGAAGCGGGGGGGAACTGGGAAGCGTCCGGATTGGAATTCGGCAGCTTTCAGGAGTAAAAGGGTTGAAACACATGGAGGGGGGTTTGTTTAGGGTGCAATCGTGCATCTGCCGACGTTCTTTCTGTGGGCCCAGTCAATTGAAACTGGAAAAAAACATGCTGCTTGAAGAATGGTTTCTAGCTTACCGCGAGGGGGGGGGGTGGGGGGCGTGAGAATAGAATGAGTGCTGCCGCACGAGAGAGGAACAGGAAGCCAACCTTTAGCCTCCCCATGAATGCTGCCGCTCTAGAAAGGAATAGAAAGCTGACCTCTAAACAACACAGATGCAACTGAAACCCCCGCGCCTTAAGGTAAAAGTCATTCTTCAATAAACATGTGTTCTTCCCTGTTTTAGGGAATGAGGCCCAGAGTTGTAGGCTTGAAGCTTCGGAGGGAGGAGGGCTAAGGACCGCAGGAAGACTTCTCGTTTTGGGCAAGGCTGTAGCTTCCAGCTATTGAATTGCATGTAATATGGTTAAACTTTGCTGCCCGCCAATGTCCATACATCCCCCCCAATGTTCTAACTCTCAATGCCGCAACTGGCCAGGGATGCAAACATGGGGCTCGCGCGATGTTCTAAGTCGAAATACGGCGAGACTTTTGCATTTTTTGACCTGGATGTTCTAACTGCTACTCGATTTTTTGGTTTAACTACCCACAGGTGTGACGTTCTAAGGCACGTTTGGTGAATTGTCGATGTTCTAACTTGAAGTCCGTCACTATACAGGCCACAATCTGAGTAGTTTCTGGTGCCAAGTCCAAGAGGCAGGCATCTCTTTCCGCCTGTTGCAGCCGTTTCGAACTTCAGCCCACAGCTCCCAAAGGAGGTGTTCGCACCTCAGCGTGCCAGGCTCAGATCACCTAGGAACATTAGTGGGCTGCTTTGCCTAAGGGCCAAAGGCCATCGGTCAAAACAGTCAACACATCGGACATGTTTTGAAGTGACGCTTCATTCTGACATCCAGTGAGCGCGGCTCACTGGGCCGTGCTGTCCAAGGCGCGGAACGCGCTGGTGCAGCCACGGCACGTGGCAGCCTTGGGATGCCCTTGCCAATGGAATTTCCGGGTTTGGTTGTGCATTGGCTCGCGGGCTGTGATGTTTCACGTGCCAGTGCCCCATTGCAAGAGAAGGTGCAGGCGGTAGGCACCCATGCGGGGGTGTGCTGCTTGCATTCGGTCAGCTCCTATGCTGCAGGCCCTTGGCCGTATTCCCCTCAGCCGCCGCTCGGCAATTTGGTGAGTATGCCTCCAGGTTATGGCGAGAGACGCTCAAGGCTCTTTTTTAAGTGCAATACGTAGCCGGGATTTGGTCGTTGCACTTCTAGAAAAATCATGGCAAAAACCCAGCCAATGGTAAGAATGGTAGGCACCACAGGTACAAGCAGGTACATTGCAACCTCCGGACCTCCGGAAGCATGTTTCTTTGCTGTCCGAACCGGCTGCAATTACTGGAAATCTTGGAGTCGTCAAATCATGCATTCTGAGGCAGACTGTTGAATGCACATGGTCAAGCCGCATTGTGTAGCTTTCAGATCAGCCTTTGACCATGAGTCCTTGACGGGTCTGACTGGTGAGGCAGGCCACCCCTTGTCGCGTTCTACCTAAGACCTACTTGTCGCCAAGTAGGGTTGCATGTGAATGAAGGGACTTCAGCTGAGTGGAGTTTGACCAGTTTGAAATCCCGGCTGCTTGCTAGAAACATGTACACAGATCACATGAGCTGCTGCGGATTTTTTGGTGGACCACTGGGCCATGCAATGAGCGAAAAGCTTCTTGAGGTCCTTCCCTCCACTGCCACAGTCACCAACTGGCACAGCGACTCATTTGCGCCGGTGCCTGAGAGTGCACAAGATCTTGAGGGCAGGCAAAATGATGTCTGGAGCAACGCCTGAAACATGGATTGAACTCTCAGCGCAGCTCACAACCACGCTCGCTGGCAAAAGCCTACCTCAGGCCGTTGCATTTCGGAGAAAGGCCTAAAAAGCACAGTTGTAGCACGCAAGCTAACAGCACCCGACACTCCAGACAACCATAGACTTTAAAGAGACATGCAAGTGCGCGTTGTGCTTGGGGAAGGGCCCTGACCATGTGCAGGGGATGCTCTTCGCAGCATAATCTCGGATTCCAATGGAGAAGGAGGCACGTACGCGCATCCGACAGTTGTTGTCCAGGTGCTGGCAGCGTATGCGTCAGCCCTTTGCTTGAAAGCAAGAGTCATTGATTGTTGCAATTAATTATGTTTAGTTGCTGGAGATCAGCATGGCCATGTCCAGGGCAATGATATGTCCGGAGGGCTGGCATCCTCAAGACCCATAGGCTTGCATCATTTTGGAGGTTGCCTTCCCTGTTTCAATGTTCCCTTTCTCCCGGCTGGGTTTCCTCGAGGCTTTGCTTGAGGTTTGTAGCTGAGAGCAGGGGGAGGGAGTGGGGGGAGGGAGTTGGTGACAAGATTGTGCACAAAAGAGAGCTTGACGTTCCTATTTCCCCAATGGAATTTGGATGGGTGGTTCAGTAGGGCTCCACGCGAAAATGCACAATTTGCGCCACGCCCACTTTTGAGCTCCAGCAATATTAAATCACACGGAACCTCTCAAATCCAACAATACCAAATCAAAAGAATGGAAGCTCAAATCACATTCGAAAGGAAGCTCCAGCAATACTATATAGATTGCATGGCAAGTCAAATCCCATAGTACGAAATACAATACTAAACCGAATGGATACTCAAATCACCAAAGCTCCTTTTGGAATCCTTCTGGAGCTCTGGAATCCTCATTCCCAATTCTAAAGTAGTCTTGCTCAATACTCAAGTGGTATTGCCCAATTTAAAGTAGACCGCCCGCGTTATTTTATTTCAGTTCTAGACTCTGTTTTTGTTGGCGCAAAAACCTTCTCGACCTTCTCGCCGGGGGGGGGGAGGGGTATAAGTCCGATGTCAACAGAAAGCAACACCCACCAGGACTTGTCTAGAGCGTTTGGTGGTTGGCACTTCTGGCAGACAGCGTCCCCCAATTCAGCCTGCCACTCGAGGCAGGCCTGCCACCACCGCGGCCGACCACCGCCACGGGGCTTCCCGCACACGCAAGCTGGAACTGGCGCGGACTGTCCGGGTTCCCGTGGGAAATTCCAAAGTCTTTTCTTAATGGCCTTTTTTTCCGGTGGTTTCCCTCCGAAAATGTTGAAAGGTTTCCCCAGGGGCTTATGGCCATTTTTCCTGTGGCTTCCCTCCGAACATCTAACAATTTGAAGCCCCGGGGCGTATTTGCTTAGTTACTCTTGGGGGATTTTTGGAAGTAAAGCTCAATGGCCTCCCTGGCTGCCATTGCCACCAAGGAGCTGCTGGACGGTTTGAGTCCCAAGTGCCAGCGATGTGCAGGGGCCCAAGGGGCGAAGCCCGTGCCCTCGTGGAATCCAACTGGGGGTCCTAGGAGGCAATATGGGTGTGGGTCAAAATGAAGCCACCAGAAGACCATAGGTTTTGGTCCATGTTGTCACTTGCCAGGGTTCCATTTTGGGTGCATATTTTTTCACCCACAGCCATATTCCTTAAGGAATCCCCTAGTGGGTTCCTGATCCATGATGGTGTTGCAGTTGACGAAGAGCGGCATTGGCAGCTTGTTGATTTAATCAGCTGGACATTGCAAGGAAGAGCTGGAGGCGAAGCATTCTGAACTCTCAGCCAAGTTCTTCAAAGAGCAGCTTGCCAAATTTGGTGCATTGCGCTAACGGCAGGCATGAATGAGGTTCTGCAGTTGCTGGTTCATTCAGTTTACAACATGGGGGAAGTGTGAGACAGGTGTTGTGTGCGTGGGCGAGTGGATGGGTAGCGGGTGGGTGGGTGAGTGGACCGGTGGGATTCCTTGCCTTCCTGTGCCATCCAAGGATAGAGCATCTACGTAGAGCTTTGACGAAAATGCCGCCGTCACAGCTCATTTATGCAGGAATTTGAAGGCTGCTTTTTGATCTGTGTTCGAGCTTTTTTCCTGTAGGGAGTGATAGCAGGTGGCACTGCAAGAGTCAGTTGTCCTATCAGTTGTTAGCTGTGTGTTTGGACTTTGTTGCACTTGGTAGTTCTTGCATGCCGGTATGCATTGGCTGCTGCATGTTGCAGCGGGCAGGGGCTGAGTGCAAGCTCGGTTCCGCAACTCAGATCTAGCGGCCATGGGCCAAACACTGCTCAGGCTGGATGCTGCCGCCGGCTACATGCCAGCCGCAGTGCTACGGGGGCTCAAGGACGGCCGATGGTTGACGTGGTGAAGCCGCACATCCTGGCGATTTTGTTTGAAGTCTTTCTCTACATGTGTGAGCTGAAGACGAGCCATACGTGCCCCTTGTCATTTATTAAAATGGACAGACACCAGTCCAAGGACTGGAAGAGCAAACAATTCCCAGGGTCGTGCCTCCAAAGCTTTGACCATGCCCATAGGTTGAAAGGTTGGCAGGTCGCCAGCGGGTGTGCAATTTTGTGCCGAGAGGAGCAGCTTCAGCTGGATGTGCGGTACCTCACAAGACCAGAGGATGGGGAAGGAGGGCCTTGGTACTCAGAAGGGCTGACTGGAGGTTGCATGGCCGGGTGCCAGCAGCATGCGGGGCGAGCCGAAGCAGCATGTGTTTGGTGTTGCTTGGAGTTCTTTGGGCTTGACAGCTAGGAGACATAGGTGTCCTTTCTGGTTGGTTTGGTCGAAAAATAGATGGCTTTGCCTGGTTTACCTTGTGGTTTAATCATCTACCAGAAAACCCATCTATTTCCCCTAAAAGGACACCTAGCCCTTGCACCTGAATTTGACTCAGGCCCTTACCCCCAGTGCCAACGCTGGATGTGGTCGATCAGTCTGAGCTGATCGAGGCTTGTGCTCTGTGAAAGCTTTTCATGTTTGCTGGATACTCATTTCGGCACATGCCTGTGATTGACAAAAGTGTATTGGTCGCAGTGACCCAGTTGCAATAGTAACAATTACCAGTAGAGCCCGCGCGGAAGTTTCAAACATACAAGAAGTATAGTTATTGTTCTTTGGTTCGTTCTTCTTCCTTTTTGTGTTATTGCTGTTTGTCATCGTACATGTGTTCCTTTATTTCGTTTCGTCATTGTTGTTTTTCTTGTTTTGAATTGCCCTTATTCCCCTTGTATCCCCTTATATCCATATTACTTTGTTCTTCCTTTCTTCCTTTCTTCCTTTCTTCCTTTCTTCCTTTCTTCCTTTCTTCCTTTCTTCCTTTCTTCCTTTCCTTTCTTCCTTTCTTCCTTTCTTCCTTTCTTCCTTTCCTTCTTTCTTTCTTCCTTTCCTTCTTTCTTGCTTTCTTTCTTTGTTTCTTTCTTTGTGTCTCTTCTTCTTCCCTTCCTTCCTTGCTTTTTTCCCTCAGTATTTATTCATTGCTTTCGTTCTTACGTTCTTTCTTTCTTTCTTTCTTTCTTTCTTTCTTTCTTTCTTTCTTTCTTTCTTTCTTTCTTTCTTTCTCTCTTTCTCTCTGTCTTTCCTTCCTAGTTTCCTTGTTTCCTTCCTTATTTCTATCCATCTATCTATCTACCTATCCATCTATCATCTTTCTATCTGCCCATCTTGACTATCAAATGTTATCTATCTATCTATATCTGTTTGTCTTTCTATTTGTCTGTCTGTCCATCTAGCTAGCCGGCTATCTATATAATGTATCTATTCTTTGCTTACCCAGCTTGCTAATCCTCTGCATATTGAATTAAACCTCTCCCGCTCTCTCTAACAACTAATCTATCTATCGACCTTGCGAAATTGCTTTGCGCATGACCACCTGACTTTGCAAAAGTGCTGCGCTTGCCACGAAGTCTGGATATGATCCTGCGAAAGTGCTGCACCTGACTTTCCGAAAGTGCTGCGCGACCATGCGAAAGTGCTGCGCCCGACGCGAAATCTACACCTGACCTGGCGAAAGTGCTGCGCCTGCCACAAAATCTGCACCTGACCGTGCAAAAGTGCTGAGCGTGCCCCGAACTCTGAGCTTGTGACCTGCCACGGCATCTACACCCGACCCTAGTCAAGATATCGAAATCTGCGCTTGACCATGCGAAAGCGCTGCGCTTGCTACGGCGAACGCGACCCGAACTGGCTAACTTTCGAGCATCGCAAGCCACCGAAGCCCGCAGAGGGTTTCACTTTTTGAACAGTGCTTTTCTCCGCCACAAATCCGCGCATTTGTGTCGCGCATGCATGTTCTTCTCTTTCCATTTGTCTCAGATAGCTAGCTTCCAAGTTAGCTGCCACCTTCATCGCTCGTTGCAGCATAAACATGACGACCATGTGTGTCCAAAAGTGGCACATGTCCACTACATAGGCCATCAATTTCTGAGAATGTAGACAGTGAGCGAGAATTCAGCATGCAGACTGGTGCAGTGATTGAACTGCGCGGCATGTGAACGAGTGAGTAAGTGAGTGAGCGCGTAGTGGGTGAGTGGTGGGGTGGATGGAATGGGTTGGGATGGTGGGGGTTGGGGTGGGTTGGGGTGGGGTGGGTTGGGGTGTGAAGATGGCATGTGTTTCTGCGTCCTTGCTCGCTTCGCCCGGTGCGTTATGTTTCCATTCGCGCTCTTCAAATCGCTTGGCCCTTCGCTCCGAGAAGCTGCGGCGGAAGATCGCCGAGCAAGAGACAGAGGCGCTGTGACCATGCTACCCATGTCGACATGGGTCAAAAATAGGTACCCAAAATGGAACCCTGGCAAATGGAAACACGGACTAAAATCTGCGGTTCCCTGGTGGCTCAATTTTGATCCACACCCAAATGGATGTGATATGTAACAGGGAAGCACCTCACAAATGGTTGGTGAATATGAATCCCCACCTACATGATGATCGTCCACCAAAGCGTTCCCACTAAAGACCACGCCCAAATTGTCCGGCCTCGAAGTGTGAGACAGCCGGTTAATAATTTGTAAGGATGCTCAACTGAGCTCTGACGATCCGGGGCCACTGCCATTGTCCATCAGGCTATTCGCATCAAACCTGTCAGGAGGTTGCCGGGCTGCCAATGTCCACAATCCTTTTGTGAGTTATCACTGCAGTGCCGCCCCTGACAGATCAAAGAGCAGAACTTTACCATTCAGGACTTGGAGGAAGAGCTGAAGAAGGCTGGGGAGCTGAGTTTCACTCAGGCAGTCACTTGTCATTGGAGCAGCGTGTGCCCAGCCTTCCCAACGGAGAGCTGCACGTGTGTTGCAGGGGTAAACCTGGCACAGGGTGTTTGGATTGCGGCATGAGATGCCTGTTTTGTAGGGTTTTCCTGATTCCACGGGTGCTGTAATCTCAACAGAGGCTCAGAGGGTAAGGCAACCCAGTGCTTTGAGCTGACAGTCATTTGCCACTAATATGATATTCGCGACTTGCATTCGTGTCTCCCAGCTTCGCGTGTCAGGCTCTCGAGGCTTTGAGGCTGGCTGGCCTGCAGGCGGGACGGCGTGCCCGCAGCTTTGCAGCTGAACAAATAGAAGGGTCATTTGATTTCGGTGTTGTGTCCACCGTAATCAGTAATTTGTGCTTCCGGCTTCGGGGCTGATTTTGCAACGGACACTTGGAATGGTGTTCGTAATTTGGACTGCCTCAGTCGGCAAAGTGACAGCTCCTGGACAAGAAAGCAAGTAACTCAACAAAGGCAATACTGACACGGCTGGCCAAACGCAAAAGAGTGACACGGAGCAACTGAGCGGCAGCCAAGAGGAGCGAGCTGCACTAAGGCACGCGCAATTGAGTGTCCAAAAACCTTGCTGACTGGCTCTACACGGGATCATGTGAATCCAACTCAGGACCGAACATCAATGGTATCTGAGTCTGGGGGCACTGCAATTCAACCTAGTATTGATCAGGATGGCAGGCATGCCATGGTCTCATTGAACAGTATTGCATGTTGACTTGTGTTCCCTACCTACACTTGACAACACTAACTTCAAGCTGACGATGCAAGCATGAGTGGGCATGTTCGATGTCATGGTTTTGCCCGTTATCTTCACCACATCCTCCTCCTCCTCCTGTCTCCTACTTTCGCCTTTTCATTCCTCCCTCCCCTGACTCCTCCTCATTCATCCTTCTGATTTCTGATTTCTCCTGCTCTTCTCTTCTTGGCCTTTGAGCCGATTTGAGATGTTTGCTGGATAGAGAGAGAGTTGTTGCTTCGAGGTCGCATCACCAACTCGCACGCGCCCAAAGCGAGAGCCGCCGGCTGCAAAAGAGCAACTCGGCAAAGCATGGGTTGACGTGTGCAGCTGAGACGACAGCGTGAGCCGCCTTGGCCACACGCTGCTTTTTCAGCCCAGGTGCCAGACGGATCCTTGGTTTCCACCTGCTCGAGAGGTCGCTGCCGCCCCAGGCGCCGAGAGTGTGCTGGGGGGTTTGGAGACATGACTGGCGGTTTAAGGCCTACATGTGACATGCGCGTTCGCATGGGCTTGCAGGCGAGCAAGAGAAGGTCAAGTATGAGAAGCCGGCCCCAGGAGCTGCATTTGTGTGCTTGCTGCTTCGTACTGGGTAAGCCGCGTCTACAAAAGCCAATCCTGACATATGCAGAATCACTCTGCACAAATAGTAACATGCTCCCTGTAAGCAAGTCTTTTCCCAGCGGCGATTCAATACTTGTCAATAGGGTGCATTTTGTTTCAGGGGTATCGCTGCTTTCCTCGGGTCAGATTTGCTTTTGCTTGGAAAGGCAGTGGTTGGCTTCAGGAATTGCATTTGTTTTTCAATCTTTGAGGCCCACCGAGGGTTCGATTCCGGCCCCCACCCCCACAACGAGCACATTTCCATAGTCTCACCCACATTGTGTGGTCCAAGTTTGTGACGAAAGACTTTCTGGTTCATTTAAGGTTGCAATTCTTAGCGTTTTGGCAACCACTGAGTCGTGCATGTCGTTGTCGGCCTGGCTAGCTTTTGGTTACCCGCACTCGCCTCTGAAGTTTTCAATGCAGACTTTAAAGGCAAGAAGACTGGATGCATGTTGAAATTTCGTACACACGACCCGCGGGCACTAGCTGCTTAGCTCCCAAGGCCCCGAGACCTGCCCAACCCAAGTTTGAATGTCCGCACTAAGCGCAGAGCTTGGGAGCTTTCTTCGTGTGTTCTAAGGGATGCCAAGAGCGTAGGACCAAGCACTCCCAAGCCGAAGCGAGAGAAGAAAGGCGCACACCGCTGGAACTTGCAGTCTTGACGTGCTGTGGCCTTATCAAATTTCGAAGTAATATTCGAGTGTGCTGCATGGATGGCGCTTTGACTCACTTCTTGAATGGATCCTTCAAGAAACTTCAAGAGCTCATGTGAACTTCAGGGTGTCGTGCAAGGTCTGTCGAACTTACGCTCCTGAGTGATGTTGAGCCCAAAGCGTTTGGCCATCTTGATGTGGAACGTCTGCGGCTCCTTGTGCAGTCTCACGCCTGCCAGGGCGTCAAGAATCAGCACCCAGCGAAAGCAGTGACGACTCGGCAGAGGCAGTGGGCAGTAGACGCCAGCTTTGGATTTATGACTTGAGGACTCCTCCCCGAACAGACCTGCCTCAACATTTTAACTGCCACATGCGTTTGGTATTTATTTGCGGGCCTCGGTTTCGGTGGTAGCCCTACTCTTTCATGACGCGGTCCGGCTTTGCATGCAAATGATGACTGCGGAACTTAAATCAGAGAGTGGCGTCTTGCTCAGAGATGCTGCTGTTGGTGGCAAAGTGCCTGTGACGATTCCCTTTGTTGTTCGGTTTGTACAGGAAGCTGGCTACAGCTTGTTCAAAACCTATTCCGCAACGATTTGCGTTTTGAGGATTATGTGGTTTGCCGATAAGAGTATGCGGATTTGGAGTATGAATTGCACGGATGTCCAATGCTCCATCAGAAGGTTTTGACCCACAAGCAGATTACGTATTGGGGAGGTTACCAATCAGGACAAGGATTACGCGTGTTACAGATTGTGATTAGGACGCCCGGGATTTCAGTCAGGCTAGCTTACTTAGCCAGCAATGCAGAAGCTGATATGCTGGCCAGGCTTTGCGCTGCATGTGTTTGGCATTCAGGATCGTGCACCTTGTGACCTTGTGCTCGCCCCAAAGATTGCAAACTGTACACCATGAGGGTTTTCGGCATGCACGGCATACCAGAGTGCAAGAGGCGTGCCACATGTCGTGGTTCAAGCTTGGATTTGCCGAGTCAATTGCCCGGGCCCGCTAGACGAAGACGGGGAGGGAACATTGCACATGGCTAACTTCCAGTGGATGTGTGGATTTGATAGGGATGCTATGACTCCTGTGTTGGGACCCCGGGATCCTTTTTTTTGTCAAGCTTGATTGCTATCAAAGCACCCTGCTGCACCCTGCTGCACCACGGTCCCTTTCATCCACAAGCTGTCCTTTGGCGGCGGCGCTTGGGCCGCTGTTGCAGCTCCGCGTGCCAGGTGGAAACAACGAAGAAGCCAGCGTGGGGCTGGGCATGAACATGCACCTGCTGCACGTCCATCATGATATCCTTGCGTTAAATGCATGACATGAAGGGAGGCTACTTGGCGATGACACAGTGTTTACTTGCATGGTTGACTCAGCTCAGCAGTTTGCGGTTATAGCCCAAGGGGAACATCATGCTTGGCCTTGCTTTTGTAGCCGCCAGCATCCCACATGTCCGCGCAGTGGCGGCGGGCCTTGAGGTTAAGAGAGAGAGGAGGAAGGAAGAAGGACGGCACCTTCGACATGTTGCCGCCCTTTGCCGCGCTCACCTGGTTATCCTTTGGACTTTTCCACGGCTCTGGATTTGTCTCACAACCAGCTAGTGGACCACAAGAGTCCTTGATTGCTTTTAGGTTCCCGTTTACAGGGCCTGAATTTCCCCTTTTTGGACCTACCGGAAAAACCGGGCAAAGGGGATAATGCCGCCGTTTCCGTTCTCCGGCCGAAAACCACACGCCCAGGATCCAAGGACAGGGTCGAGAAGAGCGTGGCCGGCAGCCCAGAGGATTTTTGGTGTGAAAGCCATGCGAAGTAGTGAGAGCGGGTCCGCCCCTTGATCGGGGGAAACATGTTTGTTTGAAAGTCAAAAGGAGAACCACCAGCTTTCAGAATTTAAGAGGGGGTCCACGAAAAAGGAAACCACGTATTCAGGCAGAGGTGTCAGAAAGGTCACCACGGGCAAACTGGCTTGTGCCAGACAAGAGTTCATAGCGACGTTTGATCCTGCGATGTCGGCTCTTCCTTTCATTGAGCCACGCAAGTCCCAACGTGTTGGGCTGATCACTCGGTCAGTATGAAAAGAAACTGTGTTCTCGCCATTTGGGGTGGTCCTGAAATCCTTGTCTTCGGTTTTAATGACTGCCGAACGGGTAGAAAAGAAAGTTGTCAAACGCTCTGTGCGCGCGCAAGGAGCGCAAGTGCGGCCCAAGGCGTGCGCGAGGTTAAAGTCTGATGTCGCCTAGCTTTACGAAAGGAAATGATATCTTTTTATTGACTGACACGACAAAAGTACAAATCATCAACTGACACGGAAAAAGTCCCAGCAAAGCATCCACCCTTTTGCTGTCTCGGATGTCCTTAGCGGCGCAGTTCAAGCAACGGCACTGTATTCGCAACGGACATGACCTGAACGCCCTGAGCTCTCAATACCCTTCAAATGCCTTCTGCTTAAATGGCTCGCACAAACCACGCGAACACTTTGCAAACGGAGGGCAACGAAAACTTTTTTCTTGCATTACTGCGCGCGCGGAAGTGCCGCGCAAGTGCGGCCCAAGGACCCAATCCCGGGCATCAGAATACAGGACAACCCCCCCCCATTTGCATAGCTCAGTGACCCGGGTTTGGCTTTGAGGGTTCCAGTATTGGGAAAGAACAAAAGCATGGTGGATCCTTGTTTTTGGTTGGGGAGGTCCACATCCAGTTTGGGAACAAACGATGTGCTCAGGATTCGGACCTTCTGAAGCGGCTGCAAGCGGAGCTGGAGCGGCACGGGTAGCGCTTTGAACCTCGGGTAGTGTTGTTGTTTTTGTTTTTTTGGCGGGGGGGGTATGGTGGAAACCATCTCGGAGTATGAAGTGGAGAGGGATTGGCTTTCCTAACTGGAAAGTCTCCTGGTGGCTGATTTGGACATGTTGCTTGGTTTTCCCCAAATGCACAGCGCGTTCCAACAAAAGGTGACCAAACGACCATGGGAGCCATTCAAAAAGCCAGAGGGCAGGTGGACACGTTGAAAGTTGTTGTAGAGGCGAAAAAGGTAGGCCAAACCTTGTCCGCAAGCAAAACCCGCTGATTTTTGTGTGTTTCGCCGTCGCGCAGTTGTTTGTACTTCTCCGCCTTGGCGTGGCAGGTCCTAGCAGCACATCTGTTGAGCGTGCAGACTTGTTGGGTACCCTGGCCCCTGCTTTGAAGTGGCCCATTCCCATCTCCAGTGCAACTTCTCACCAGCCCGGCATGGTACGCTTTGTTGCACGTTGCACCAGGCCTCGGAAAGATCAGCTGCAGCCTTCATGAAGCTGCGCCAGGACCTGCTCAAGATGAAGCTTGCCTCCGCGGAGAGGGAGCTGTCCAAAATGGAGGCTGGTTGGGATGGCCGGGGTCAACTGCTCCTTGACCTTGTGGGAAATTGTACGTGGACAATGAGTGCGAAGAAATGGGAAGTCCTTCCAGCTGGTGATGTTTGTTTCTTCGTAGTCCAATCGCTCTCGGTTCGTTGACACGCAGCCTTTCCGCTTTCAGGATATGCAGGGCCACAAGCAGGTTCGATTGTATATAGGACTAAAGTGACGTTTGAGAGTTTTGGGCTGTGTCAAGCTTTGTTTGGGGAACCAATTTGCTTGAGAGCTTAGCTCTGTTCCTTCGGGGAGCGCTTTCGTTTCCCAGCAACATGGACATGGGCCTGCGCAGCGGTTGGGAGTCAGAGGGTGCATGTGCCTGCCGGTGATTTGCCCATTAGGGCCAGTTCATCATACTAAGGCTGTGGGTTGCAAGCGTGTTGCCCATGCCATAGCATCTTTGTTTCATATTTTCCCATTTGATACCCCTGGAAGTCCCCGAAGCAGACTGCAACTGGTGGAACCAAGGTTTCCCCTGGGCTGGTTCGCACGCATCCGCCAAGTTTTCAGACTGAGGCGTTGAAGTCGGAGCTGGAGTCGCTGAAGAAGCAGCTGGGGGAGCGCGTGCTGAGCCCAGGTTGCTCCGGTGACACGGGGAACGGGGCAACCGCATGGATCAACTCCCAGAGGGTCCAAGTACCTCCTCAAAATTGCTTTTGGGGTGTGAAGAGGGGTCTAAGTACCTCCTGAGAAAGTACTTGGACCCTCTGGGACTGTAAAGCTGCCATGGAGGGGCCCAGGTCGTTGTTTAGAGTGATTTTGCCGCGCTGTTTGAGAGGTGGTCCTGTCATTCTCGACCAAGGATGTGAAGATTGAAGAGCTTGAGCGGGAAACTCAGTATTGCGTTGTTTGGCAGCAATCACGCGGGTGCAATGCAGCAATTGTCAGGGCTGAAATCAAGAGACTTACCGAGCTTCTGAAGAAATCGGCCAAGAGCGAAGGCGCGGGGATGCATGTGCGTGAAAGGGGTGTTGCCAGAAGGGCGGAGGACGGGGGGACCATTGCGAGCGAGAGTTGAGGTCAGGTTTGCTTTCATGCTGGCTAAGTTCTGAACTTGTCGAGCGAGATGGCCCTATGAGTGCAGCAAAGTCAGCTTCTGTTCACGCTTTTTGGCAGGAAAGCCTGGAAAGAAAGAGCCCAAGGCTCCAAAGGAGGACAGAACGCACTTGGCCATCATCGCATTTGCTATTTGCGGTGGGCAGGAAAAGGAGGCAAAGAAGGAGAAACGCTACAAGCAGGACACTGGGCCTGCGCGAGAAAGTCAGCTGCTGAGTGTGCCCAATGATTTGCCGTACCAGCTTGTGCACAAATGTCACGTGATGCGAGCCCAGGCATGCACAACCTTTTCCCAGCGTAGTTTTGCACGGTGTAACATGGGTGTCTTTTCCCAGGGACCCAACAAATGTGCCACAAAAACGTGGTGCCCACAAAAAAGACACACCCACATGACTATTCATTCTTACGCGTTGCTTGATTGTTGTTGCGCGTGGCAACGTCACCCAAAGTTGCAGCACTGCCGCAGCTTGGCTTGGCAAGGCCCCTCCAAGCCAACAGTGGCGGCAACAGAAGGTGAAGACAAACCGAATCCCCGGCTGTCGTTGTGCTGCAAAGCCAGTGGACAACGAGCTAATTGGATCTTCTGGGTAGATGTTTGCATCGCGAAAGCTTTGAACAGTTACGGCTTTCAAGGGTCTCAAATCAATCTGACTTGGACTCGCATGGTGGCAGATGTTTTTTTTGTTTGCCAGGCCGCCGGCAGAGAAGCCTCCCGAGCCCGACGAGGCCACAGACGGGACGGGCGTGGAGCGTGGGCAGATGGATACGTGCAAGGGATGCAAGGATTGGAGGAAGCAGGAGGCAAGCCATTACGACTAGGTGCATCTAAACTTGAGCTATTGCATTTTCAGCAAGACTTCTGGGGCTGCGATTTGTTCACATCGATTGGGGAAAGGCCTGCTTTGGTTGTAGAGTGCTCTTGCCAACTCCGCTTGCAGGTGCCATCTGAGAGCGAGGATGAGGCAGGGCAACCGCTGAGCCAGGATGATGTTTCTAACCAGGGCATGCGGTGACGGTCACAAGTGCTTGACAAGGGATGATGGCACTCCCTTGAGGGCAACTCGCCAAAGTGTGTGTTGGCTAATGTTGGCTAAGTCATTGCTAGCATCATCTTGTGCAACTTGGTGTTCGTATTGGGGTAGCCTGTGCTCCGCCACAGCCAAGTCTTCTGCAGGAGAGTGAGGAAGAAGCTCCGCCTCCGCCCAAGGCGAGTTCGGCTCGTTAGCCGATCGCCGAGCTCATGAGGATTTGTATCCAAAGGTCGACAGGGAAGATGCCCAGGTGTTTGGAACAAAGGCGAACTAGGCAGTCACGTCGACCGCAGCATGGGGTTCAGCAATGACCAGGGACCCGCTCGCGCTGAATCCCAGTTGCCAAAACCGACATTGCTTAAGAAGCTTGGGTGCCGAATCCGAGTTGTGAAATTATATCACAAGAGGTGTTCACCCTTATGAATGAGATCAACCCGCCAATGAAATGCAGATTGGTGGAAGGTCAGATCTGTGCGCTTCCGCAGGTTTTCGAGGATAAGTGTGTGCAGCTCTCAGCCGGGAGAAGACACACGATTCACGCCACGTTCACTTGTCCCAGCCGGGGTGTTGTGAACACGGAATTGGAATGTTCAGTGTCAATTTTGCCTGGGGGTTTGTCATGAGAACAGACTGTCAGCAGTCGCCATAGTTGCCACAGACCTTTTGCCAAAGCTTGCGGGGCCGCCCGCTCTAAGGTTGGCAATGGTCCTGGGAAAGGCTTGCAGGACCAGCCAGGGCCTTGCGAGGAAGGCTCTTGTGGGGCACTTCTGTGCGGCAAAGGGCAAGTTCTAACCCAAAGCCGTGTTATCCGGCCAACAGGTAGTGACGACACCTTTGCCTGCTGTCATGTGTTTTGTGACCATCGCTTGTATGAATGGGGTCTTGAAACTGGAGCAGGAGAAGGGCGGCGCTCAGTAACATGCGGGTGGGGTTGGGCTACAAGCAGTTGGGACTCAGGCCGCTGATATGCAAGGGCCGGGGGCTGAAGCAGGAGGAGGAGCTGAATAAGACAGGGCCAGCGTCTCAGCTTTGCAAGGGGTGTAGCCCGGGGCAAACCTGCACTGTTCTGGCGTGAAGCGGTGTGAAGTGATTGTCCAAGACTTCGCAGTTGGCTCCGGGACTTGAAGTCACTGTCCGGACTTTCCATGCACTCCGGCGGGCTTCGCATGGAAAGCCCGGGATGGATACCACTGGCAGGCGTGTTTACGAGCGCAACCTCGTGGAGCAGCCAACGTTCTCCAGCCACGTTTTGGCTCACATTTTCGATGGGCCTCTCATGTTCGGCGCATTTGATCGTTCATGAATCGTTGTATGAATTGTGCGCCATCATGCGCCTAACATCCCTAACGCTTTTGACTCCAGTTCAAGTAGTTGAATCAGCGACCCTAGTCATAGACTATGACTTAGCTTTCCAGTATAGCCAGTGATGACTTGCATTACGAGGCATGGCTTGTCAGAGTTTTTACACAATGCAGGCTGAGTCTGAGCAACACTCCCGGCCTTGCTGCAGCGCCCCTATCCGCATCTCCGGACTTAGCAGTTCGCGGGCTGGGGAAAGGGAGCGTTTGGTTCCGCATGCTGACGTTCTGCCGCGGCTTTGCTGGTTTTCACGGTTGGGAGTTGCTGAGACCACACTGGACCTGGACAACACCCTGGCAACGCTCTCAGCAAGACTATGAGTTGGGAATGATCAAAGCCAGGGGAGCGCGCAAGACGCTAAACCTCTCAACTGTTGGTTGGCAACAAATGCAGCAACACTGAGCTGCAGTCAATGATCATGATGTCCCCAACGAACAGTGTGTCCCAACTGGCAATGAACTTGACGCCCCATGTCCCAATCTCAATTCAGTTACGGTACCAAATGTCCTCATTAATGATTTTGTTACCACGGCCAAGCAAATCACAGTAGTACTGCTGGACTCGGCGAATGAAAGCTTCCTTGCCCCTCCGAAGTCACCGTAATCTACTGGATATTTTGACCAAACCTCATATCATTGCCAGCCAGCTTGGTCACTTCCGGTGGATGCATCATGCACCCATTCGCTTCTGTGCCTACTTTCAGGGTCAGTTGGAACCCTGATGTAGTTCGAGGACCAACCCCTTGTGTTCATCCCTAGCCGCGTTTGACCACTCAATCCAGCGCTTGGTCCGTCATGAGATCTAGCGACATTTGTCAATGATGTTCGGACATGGGCAATTTGTGGGTACCATTTGCCGCACGGGTGCTTTTCAACTCAACTTGGGGTAGCGCCCCATTTCCAGACGTCGCACGTGAGCTGCATGCTTTCAAGCTCCAGGCACGGCTGAAAGGCGCCCGAGGAGTTGGGGTATACGCGGGTGGCGCTAGCCTCAGCTGAAACCGTCTTGGCTCCCGGGAGCTTGGCCAGCAACCTCCTCCTTTTGGATGCAAACAGGACGCCAAGAGGCGAGTGCGGTCATTCTTTTTTGCAAGAAACGGGCGCGTGGCACACGGGCACTCGGCAATTCTTCAACAGCGCATTGTCACTTTGTTCTGGGTGGAGACGGTGGGATGGTTCATTCGGAGGAACGAAATCCCAATCGGGGCAATTGCCGCCCTGAAGCTAAGCGAAGCCCAAATGTCAAGTCAGGCACTCGAATTGTTAGGCAGTCGCCATGTGGATAGGGGTTCGCAATTTTTATGAGATGTTGGCATGAAAGATCGACAAACTTTGTAAGAACTGCCACCTGAAGTGCCAAGGTAGCTCAATGCTCGGAGGCGTTCAGTTCGCCACTGTCCCGGTGCAGTTCGGTCACAGCGCATGCATGTGTATGGGGGCTTCGCGTAGCTTTCTGGTGTATGCGGGGGTTGCGTTGTTGGAAGAGAGATAAGAGAATGATAGAGCTCCAGGATTTCTCCGCTGTATCGACGATATGATGGAGGCTATCCAATTTCCAGGAGGAATAGATGACAATCTTATAGATGGGATTGTTATGGGATTGGTCAGCTGTGAACCCCTTGAAATCAAAGAGTGAGGAGATAAGGCGGAGGACATTCCAGGTACGAACAATTTGGTTGCTTACCAATCCTAAGGTGAGAGATATTGCAATATGATGAAACCCCAAGAGTTACAAATGAACCAGGAATGATAGCATGGAGAAGGAGAAGATGGGACGTATCCGACGGGACAAGAGACAGGCAAGAGATGAGCCTTTCAACCTTTCCCTCTCACTCTTTTTTCGAATTCCCGTCTCCTCCCAACCCTTTGAATCCTGTAGAAGATTCCATTTGAAGGAGACTTAACCCTTGGAAGCGATCAGTAAGTATTCAATGTTGTAATGCAAGGAATGCTCTGGAAGATCAAGAAAGAAGACAGCAAGAAAGATATATGATTTGGGGGGTGCCCCCGAGCACTAACAGTTAAATAAAGCCATTTATACATTAATACCTCAGCAAAAATGACCACCAGCAAGCCCAAATTGGTTTTGGGTAAGCACGCCCCACCAATTTTAGGTTGCGTATTTGTTTGGTCTATATGATGATGCAGTGGAGAGTAGAGTGGTGTCTTTTCATGCCCAGGCCCAAATACGGTTCTGTCCCTACTGGTTTCTAGTGCTGCGCTTTTGGGGTTGTCACTGGACAGTAGGTGCATTAGGATTTAGGAGACCTAGGAAAAGCTTAAAGCTGGTTCAGGAGTCGTAAACATAGACAGAGACATAGACATAGCATAAACATATATCGCAAATAAACATTGGCCTAGACAGCAACTATCACTACCACTTTTCCGCCGTCGCTGCAAGTTGAATGCAAGTCGCTAACGCAAACACCAAGTTCTGACATCTTGATCTGACAGAGAGCGAAAACCAAAGCAGGCAGGAAGTGGCGCAGTCAGCGCGGAGCTGGCCGCTTCGCCCAGAAACACGTTGGAGCGTCTTTTCTTTCAGCTTCTTCCGTTGGTGGGCCTGGTGGAGGAGCCCAAGGTAGACAGCTGTTTGCAGGCCAGTCTGCTGGCTGGCAGCCCCACCCTGCCCGGCCAGGCCAGCTGGCCCCTGGCCCAGCTGGCGCCAGCGCCGAGCTGGCCGAGCTGGCGCTGACTCCGGCCGGCTCCCGCACTTCTGGCCAATTTCGGCAAATGTTCGGCCGGATTTTCCAGAGGAAAGCGTAAAACTAGCACAAGAAAAAGCACAAGAAAAAGCACAAAAAAAAGCACAAGAAAAAGCAGAAAAAAAGCACCGCAAAACCCCAATTACCCTCCAGAGGGACCTACTACTTTTCATCACGGGAAACCACCAGCGGGAGCACAAGAAAAAGCACCGCGAAACCCACAAGAAAAAGCAAAAAAAAGCACAATCGGGAGCACAAAAAAAAGCACCACAAAACCCCAATTACCACCCCTCCGGACTCCGCTGCTACTTTTCATCACGGGAAACCACAAGAAAAAGCACAAGGGACCACCCAAAACCCCAATTACCACCCGCCCGGACTCCGCTACTACTTTTCATCACGGGAAACCACCAGCGGGAGCACAAAAAAAAAGCACCACGGCACCCACAAGAAAAAACACAAAGGACCACCGCAAAACTCCAATTGGAGCACAAAAAAAGCACCGCAAAACTTGGCCGGCGGGCCGGTTTTTCAAAATTACTTTCCCTTCAGTCCGCGAAATTCAAATTACTTGCCCCAGGACCCCCCCCCCCCAGGCCTCCCCGGGACACCTTAAAAATTAAAAAATGCGTTAGTGCGTTAGTGCTCCCCCTCAAAAAAAAACCGTTAGTGCTCCCCGCGACACTCTTGGAACGAAAAAAGGAAGGAAGAAAGCACAGACAGAAGGTTGGTGAGAAGGGCAGACGGAGGGGAGGGGGTTGCTGTGGGCTGGATGTTTGCGTGAGAGGTGGGGGTTTTGGGTGAGGGCCGCAGGTAAGAAGGAGGTTTGGGGGGAGGGAGGGCTGGATGGGTGAGGGCAGCTTGGTTGGCAGGGAGGAGGTTGGGAGCGGAGGCTGAGAGAAGGGGTGTTGTGGGAAGCAGCAGCGACCAAGCCAAACAGAAAGGAAGCACGGAAAGGTAATGTTGCAACAGCCACGCTAGCCGTCGTGTTGCGTGTGCCCATTTAACTTTCCCATTGTATCTGGGCTAATAAGTCATAGTGCAAATAGTCTTTGAATCACTTTATTTCAAGCTCCCCGGAGCTATCCCCCAAGATGCAGAACGAGTAATTTAGGTTTAAGACCTGCACGGGTACCTAATTTTAAGAAAGAGCAAAGTTGCTTGTTTGTTGTGGTGCTTTGTTTTGGTGCCCTATTTGTGCTCACTGTTAGTGGTCCGGGGCCACCCCCAATATATGATACATATTATATAGCAATATTTTCTAAATCTGAAGAATCTCGAGAACATTGAAGACTGTTTTACAAGCCATTAAAATTCTAGACAGCCCTTTTACACATTATTTTTGATGTACATGTGTTCATTGTTTCTGTAGCTGGAAAAAGGAACTATTTCTTGTATAGTTCAGATCATCCTATCTCTGGCTACCTTTTCCATTGGGTTCATGTTGGTGCGGAGATAAGGTGTGATTCTTCATTGCATTTCATCAGTGTCTTCTCTATCCCCTTTCCCTTTTCTACGTCTCCCTTACTTTAAGAATGATTGTTTTTGTTTAGTTCAATCGTTGGGGATGAACGATGGATCAGATGGGAGTCCTCAGAGAGAGATAGAGAGAGAGAGAAAGAGAGAGAGAGAGAGAGAGAGAGAGCGATAGAGAGAGAGAGAGAGAGAGAAAGAGAAAGAGAAAGAGAAATAGAAAGAGAAAGAGAAAGAGAAAGAGAGAGAGGGGGGGGGGAGGGAGATGGATAGAGAGAGAGAGAGTCCAGGCCAGCACCTGGTCTTCAAAATCCACGCCGCACTTGCTGGTGCGGGCCTGTGTTGCCGCAAAGGACCTGGCGAATCACAAAACGGCGGCTGTGAGGCACAGGCAAAGCATTTCTCTGGGGGAGTGCAAACATCGGGCACCAGATGTACTAAACTTGAGAAACCAAGCCCAGAATGTGTGGCAGATTTCGGTTGTGCATCACCTACGTGTTTGGCCGTGCCGAATGCGTTATACTCACTGGATTGACGAGCAGATTGTCCAAAAAACTTTACAGCTCACTTGGCCTTTGGAATGTTCCGCTTGCCATCCTCCGGTTTTTGAAACGGGCTGGCCCAGCCATGCCGTGGCTGAGTTGGGGTTGCTGAGGCGAATACCTGGCCGGAGGCGGAGCCGTACTTGACCCAGGCCATTCAGCTGTGCGTGGGGAGCCAGCGGAACACCAATGCGGCTTCCAATGCAAAGCCTGTCATGAAACATATTGTTAAGCAAAAAGAAGCAACCACCAGTACCCCCCCCCAACCGAGTTGTCCAATGTCCAATCTATAAGTAATGGTTGCCCCTGAGCAGTAAGGGGGCCCCCCCTCAAGGTTCACAAGGTTTGGACAAGCCCCCCAAAACTGAGATGTTTGGACGACAGCTCCCTGATTCCTGTTGAGTCCCTTCGCTCGTCCTTTTACGTCTTGCCCCTTCCAGATCTTCCCGGCCAACTGAACACTGGAACCTGGGCTCCGAACCTCTTCGGTCCTTGCCTTCTTGACCCCGAAGGCCATTGGACTTGAAATGGCAGCGTCAGCGGTTTGTTGGGATTTCGGATTCCGAACTTGACGAGTCTTCTCTTCAGGGCGCTGGCCTCCAAGGCGGCCCCCGTGAGCTTGAACAGCTCGTCATGTTAAGCAGAATATTTACATAGAAAAACACACTTTTGTGGGGGAAGCACATGTTTGGGAGAACTTGAGGGGTTGAATAATGGCGTAGTATCGGTGGGATTAAGCACCTTTAATCAGGGGAGTTTGCGAATCGTGCACTGACATTAGTGTGAAAAGGGTGTCCCAAGTTGATGCCGTTGAGCTACTCGCCAGGTTTGGGAGCACAACCCGAAAGGTCACAAGGCGCCAGTGAAGCAAGGGCCTCATGGCAATGTGATAAAGCGCGGAGGCAGAATGACCAGCTGCAGCGGAGGGGTCATGCCTGCTTGCTAGTGTTGGCTGCAGTCAGCAAAATCTCACGGCTAAGTAGCGATATTCTTCACAAACTGGGAAGAGCAGCCCATGTATCAATCCACAGCCCCGCTCGCTTGAGAGTCAAGCCTTCAAGAAACACACCCCGGCTGCAAAGCTGCCGTCCCGCTTGGGGACCAAGGCGGGAGCTCATTAAGCTTGGGGCCATCTCACCTCAGCGGCCGCTTGCTGAGAACCTTTCGGAGGATTTGGGAGGGATCAAGATGCTTGCGGCAAGGTCGACGATGCAGTCCATGGATACGTCTTTGGGCCGGGTTCTTATTGGCTCGTCGAGCCAGAGTATCATGTCTGGGCACTGGGCAGTGGATCATTGATAAAGGCAACCAATCACATGATTGGGCCGGCAGTTTGCAGGCGCAACCAATACAACCAACGCAATCAGCTCAACGAGCCCAGCGACGACGACACTGGTCAGCACCGCAACGGTGAAGGACGTGCTCGCCCGCACCTTACAGGTGCAACGCTGGAAGCAGCAACGTGGGCCCTCAGTATCTTTCCGAAGCTTTCTGTGCACTTTGGAAGGTATTGTCCTGAGAATGTAAATTTGACCCTAGCATGACCTCCATCAAAGCATCCAGCCATTGGAAGGGCGTGCCCCAGGCAGCAGCTGCTTCATAGCACTAGGCGCATGTCTGAAGGGCCAGCCGCGATGCATGTGCCAGGCAAGGGCCTTAGACCCCAGCCTGAATTTGATTGCTACCTGGACAGATAATAAGGTTGCGTTTTTTCATTTTCAGTGAAGCAAGGAGGATATGTTTTCCTCTACGCGGAATCATTGCGGTATCGCCTCTCAGCGAGTGGATTCTGTTCTACATTAGTCATTTGTAGAGAACCTTGGGAATCCGCCCAAGGCGGATGCCTCTCATTGCCCCGCCCGAATGGGCTAGGCAATCCTCTGCTGCTCCTGCTTCACGCGGTTGCATACCGCACGTTTTCTAGGGGCGAGCATTGGCGGAAACAATCGGCCTGGGTGCCATGCGCGGTCGCAAGGCATGAGTCTTGGTCAGCGACGTTTCTTGGCGACGGGTTTTTGGGTGCCACCCCGACCTTCGCCTAAGCCACCTGGCACCCTTCATTGTAAAATTGGGGATGCCAATGCTCAAGAGTCAGTGCTTTTGGGTGCCCAAGCTTGATACGGCATTACATTTTGATATTCAGACTCAGATGCTTGCTGAGAAGTGCCTGTAGAGGGAAGCCAAAGACAGCAGCAGGCTTCAAGGCAATGCATCGCCTGATGACATGGGGATTGTTGCTCATCAAGCCACAACCTGTTGCTTTGCCCTTTCGCATTCAGCTCACCAAGTATGTTGGCTCCAGCAGCGGTGGTCGCAAATCAGCATATCTTATCATCAGCCAGGCCTGGCGCGCAGAAGTGATGCGGGTGATGAGCCCCGCGCTTCAGGACCATGGCGTCGAATCAGCTGAACCTCAAACGAGGCGCGAAGGAGGAGAACGGCGACGTTAGCCACGCGGGCCGCCATGAACATGAAAAAACGAAGGATCCTCCCGTGTGTCTAACGTCGCCGTGAGCTTAAACAAAGATGTGCAGAATGGGTCCTGAACTTCATCCATTCAAGGATTGCTTAGTAAACCAGAAACGGTGACTCGGGATCTCTAAGAAACAAGGCCGTAAAAGTGCACGAGCTGCCATACTTTCTCCATCAAGATCCCGACCTTACAGGGTGCATCCTGAAAAGGAGAACTATGTTGATTCATCAAATGTGCTGGTTCTGGTGCACGCTGGGGCAAATCGATCTGCCAGTCCAAGCACCGGCAACCGGCTTAACCGGCTAGGCATGGATCGGCTGCCTTGGCCTTGGCAAGGGCGGCTTGCCATTTGCATTTTGTGCACTTTTGCTGTAGGTCCTCTAAGCTGCTTTGAACTCAGTCCAGTTTTACCATGTCCGCGCAATGCCCTCTCAAAATAGGTGTGTGGCCTAAGGCTCGCGATTGATGGTTTGAGTCAAGATCCCTGCGCATATGGCAGCAGCAGATGCTCTTGTTGTTGGAGTCTGAGGGTCAGTAAACTTGCCATGATGCTGCGCTGAGCAGAACCGCCGGGCCTCGCCTTCAAGATTGCGAGAAGCAAGCAACTGAAGCGGGGTCAAGAAGTGTCAGCTCTTCGTGTGGTCTTCAGCTCGCTCTTGGCATTTGCAAGAAGCCACGCTTAGTTTCAGCCGGTCAGCCAGCAAGCTGTGCTTCGCAAGGCTCGCTGCCCGGGCCTGGCGGCACTCAAGGTCAGCCATCCCCCCAAGGATACTGAGTATCGGATCGGCCTTGTCCTTCTACTTGTCGTCTCAGACATATGTCACAGAGGCGGCTCGAAATTTGAAATTTGCCGGTTGCAGCACAGTCAAAAGCAGCCCCAGCAGCAGAGAGCAACACACTGTGCTCGGCATGGGTGTGATGGCAGAGGGCGCAGCTTTGAGGGCAGAGGTGCGCCGAATTCTCGGCCAGAGCCTTAGCACGCTTGTTCAGCGCATTGGCTCCCGCAAGGTTCTCCAGCGTTTGCGTGAGAAGAGAGCTTGTCCCTGAGGTGAGCAAACTCCGGAAGACTTGCTGAAAGTGCTGAGCAGCAAGGACTGGTCGTTTTTTGCCTGGCGCCACGCACAAGGATGAAGGCGTCGATAGAATCGTACTGCTTGGCGCAGGTCGCTTTCTCCGCATCGCCCCAGTCCCATGGTGTTGATGGAAAATGTTGGGGCAATGTTCGGCGAGTCCGGGCCAACCGTGGCAAGGGGCCGTGCCACAGTCTTGCGCTTTTTCTGCCAGCGGCGCCAACCCCAACCAAGAAGCCAAGAAGCCTTGCGGCGGCCCCCTTTCCACATGATAAATGTTGCCGGCATGCTGCTTCCCATTTCCCTGACCCACAAAACAAGGTCGAACGATGCTCCTCGATGTGGTGTCCAAATGTGTTTCTTGGGTCACCAGTCTTGAGCGTTGCTTGAGTGAAATTAGTTTCCCCGCCAACGAATTTCAATCCCTTCGTGGTGGCTTTTGGCGAAGCAACTTTGTGCTAAGTCGGTGTCCCTGTGCGGAGGGGTGAGGGTGGCTTTTCACCATTTTCTTTTTGGCCATATGGCCAAGGTGGTTTTGTTTGCCCGCGCTCTCGGGCCTTTGGCGTAGTTTGCATGCTTTGCTTTGCGTTTGGCGGGTCGCAAAAGCCGCGTGCCGCTGTGTGTTGGCTACTTTGCGATCCGTTTTGACTTGTGTGCAAGGTTGCTCGCTGGCCATTCGAGTCAATGTGGTTCCCAAAGCCTGGCACTTTGTATCCAGTTTTGGGTTTCAGGCTGTTGGCTCACCAAGTTAGATCTTCAAATTGCCATTAGATGACATCCCGTATAAGACAGCCTTTTCGCACATGGCCACACATTCAATGAATTTCCAGTCAACTGGTTGTTTTGCAAACACGCGTCACAGCACAACCCGACTCGCAGCCCTTGCTTTGGCCGTTGCCATTGCGGTCGTTGCAGTCCAGGTGAGCGTATGCTGGCTTGATTCACAGGTTCTGGACTATAGGAGCTGATGGCGTTGCCAACGCCAGCAAAAGAATCGGGTTACCGGTTGGCAAAGGTCGTGGGAATGACCTGAGAGACTGGACCTTTGACTCAAACAATCCGCCCTTGTGAAGGAGCTGGAGGAGTTGCTGACAGATGCTCATGCCAAGGCAAGGGGGGCCTCATGTGGGACTGTTTGCGCTTTTTCACCATGGGGTGTGGCTTTGGCCCAAACGGAGCAAGGCCCTGGCAGGCTAATATAGATTTTTTCCCCGAGCCGGCTGAAGCAGGGCGAATCTTCGCTCATTGAAGCCTCTCATCCGTCCTCGTGCCGCCTTGGTTCGTGTTTGCATTTCCATTTGACCCAAGTAGAGGCTTAGACTTCGCAGACGGCGTGTTTGTCCAAAATGTGGGAAGCGCTGGAGGTGAAGAAACACAAAGAGTCTGTGTCACACTTTGGGAGTGTTGCAGTTTATGAAAGCCCTTCTAGCGATTTTGCTACGTTGGCACGATGCTCAACGTGGTTTCTTTATCAAAGACACAAAGAGCCCTCAAAACAAAAGAGCTTTGCTGATTCAGACTCTGATTTGGTTCGGTTTATTTTCTTGAAGCCTTCAGCTGAGCCACAATGAAAACCCGGGTAGATAAAGGTTAGTAAGGGACAATCCCAGCCATAAATGGGTGCGGCCGCCTTGGTAATTCTTTAAAACTGGTTTGGGTACACCATTTTAATACCACGTTTTGATTCTGACTCAGCTGTCCTTCATGTGTTGGGTTTGCCAGGCAGGTGCAATTCCTGGCAGCTGCGAGGCATTTGGGTAGTCGACTCGAACTGTTTGTACATGCGAGCAAGAACACACCACGTGTGCTCAGCGCGTCCAGCACAAAAAAATGCATGGAGGGCGAACTGCTTTCGTCCAGCATAGCAACGCTCAGAAATGCCCGTGGGCCAAGGCTATGTTCACAACAATCGCTGCTTCCAAAGGATCAAGCAAGCTCTGATGGCGGTGGTGGTAGTGGTGGCATCAGCATTGTTTTCGTGGTAGAATAGAGCAGCTGAGCGGGATTTGTATGCTTGGTGGTAGTACCTTTAATCACACCTGCACACAAATTGTATTTGCAGGATTGCAACGCCAAAAACGCTGCAGGCGCTCGAGGAGTTGCTGACAAAGGCAGGGGTGCCTCATGTTTGACTGTTGGCATTGTGACTACGGGGCTGGTGCTTGTTGGTTATGTGCAGGTTGAACAAGATCTGTTGTTTTGACACTCGTTGCAGTCAGTGGGTAGTCCACATGCCAACAACCCACACAGCACAATGCCAAGGTAGCTGATCAAAAGCCTGTTGATAGAAGCCACAATATGAAGTCGAGTCTTAGAACTTAATGTGCAGCCAGCTGACAGATGCCGTTCGCCGTCCAGGAGAGGCCCAAGGGTCTTACCAACCTGGGCAACACCTGCTATTTGGCATCAGTCTTGCAGTGCTTGTCGCAGCCTGGCAAAATCCATGAACGAAATACAGGTATTGCATGCTATGCATTTTGAACTGATGCCCCAACCTAAATCCGCAAGGTTTGAAGTACGGCGCATTTCCAGGTCCATTCACGTGGCTGAGCATTCAGCGCATAATCGGTTATGTGTGCTGCTCCCTTTCGTGGCATGTGAGGCATGTGTATGTTGCCGGGCGCTGTCAATGTGAGGCTGTGAGTAAGTGTTTGGTTCTTTGGTGGCCAATCGTCCCTTGGTGCTCCTGCCATCAAGCTCAGGCAGACGCATACCTTTGCCGAAGAACTCGGCGAGTGTCAAAGCATGCTGAGCGGCATAGGCGACTCTGATGAGGGATCGGTTGCGCACCGCTACCAAGTGAGGGACAGTTTAGACTGAGGCATTGCGTGTGTGTTTGTGTGTGCTTGTGCTTGTGCTTGTGCTTGCGCTTGCGCTTGTGTTTCTGCTTTTTTTGTGTGTGTTGTTGTGTTTGTGTTTGTGTTTGTGTTTGTGTTTGTGTTTGTGTTTGTGTTTGTGGGTGGGTGGGTGGGTGGGTGGGTGGGTGGGTGGGCCGCAGAGTTGTTACTAGGGAGTGCCCATTTCACGGGAACATGCCAAGCGCTTGGTAAAACTGAGACTTCCTTGGTTTGGTGTTCGCCAGTATTGTAAGCATATGATTGCAGAGGTGGCAAGCGTCGCTGTTTGATTGGGCAAACCGGACTCGTTGACTGCAGTCATCCCAATGGCCCACTTTTCGTTTTGCGAGAGTCACCTCACCAAATTCAAGAAGTAAACATGTGATGTTTTGGTTTATGTTGCTGAATCAGGGAAACCCCCCACCCCTCGAAAAGGAACTGGGGCAAGGGAGCGACCCTCTTCCTGTCTATCCAGGGGGCCCGAGTACTGTTTGAGGATTGTTTTCGAGGAATTAACAGTGTTGCAGTCAGAGAAGGTTCATGAGCCTTACTTAGGGCACTAGCTTTGTTGAATTTCTCAACCATGGAAACCACAGCGGGGTGGGCAATGCAGGGTGTCCTCCATTTATTTTTGCCGATCCTCCAAAGAGGCAATTTCAATGGACACCGGTACGCTGCAACCTTCGAGAATCCAGTGACCCCTGCAATGTTTTGTTTTATTCACCCAGAACGCCCATACAGGCCAGGCGCTGCACAAGGTGCTGGGGGACCTGCGCGCTGCGCGGCAGAGCTCAGTGGAGGAGGTCTTGGGGAAGTTGGCAGAGAGGCAGGGCCCGGGTGCGAGAAATCTGAAGGTCCATTGAAAGTCAAATGATGGCTCGTCTTTTTTCGAGGGCACTCGTTTTGGGTGTTTTTAATGGAAACCACTTCTTCCTTTCTTTCTTTTTTTTTGGGGGGGGGGGCCCTCCAAAAAACAGACCCAACGGATTTTGCTTTGGCTGCCCTTAGCCATCCAAAAGGTGGTTCTTTCAGAAGATGCTGGTTGCCTTTTGGTGTTCATTTTCCTTAGCCAGCCAAAAAGAAGGGTGTTCTGATGCTGAAAGGGCTATCTACTATCAACAAGGCGTGGACATAAATCTCCAAAGATGTCCTCCACCACAGGACCACAGCGAAGATTCATACCTGTTTGCACATACAGGGCAGGCTCAAGGAAGGTCAAAAAGGGTTATCAATACTGGGTACAACACGAGGGAATACGTGGTGCAAATAACTTGGGACGGCCAGGGGATGGCAGTCCAACAGATGCCCCTTCTGGTGTGTCAGGCAGCCAACTAAGCGAAGGGTGCAAGTGCCCGACAGCGTCCCGTACACAGCGGCATAGCACTTGCCCAATCGGTAGCTCGGGATCAACTGCCGCAGATGTTTACTTGGCCCGATGAAGTGCAAATCTGTAAATTGCTTTCCAGGATAACGCCTGCAGTTCTGACAGCCTCGAGGATTCTGCGAGGGTTCTGCGAGGGTTCTGCGAGGGTTCCATGATGGTTCCGCAAGGTGGCCTAAGGCAAGGCTCCGCATGTGTGCCTTTCGCACCTGCAGAGCCCATGGAAGCGTGGTGCTGTTGGGGATATCACCTCATGAGCTTATTGCGTAGTAAGCTGTTTGCTTTCGTAGAACGGCCAGCAGTTCTGTTGCGCGGCTGGTCCCTGATCGCGTCCGGCACATCCTCCGGAGCCAAAGATCTGTTTTCGAAGTCCTTCAACGGTTTGCTAAAAGATGGCGCGAGTGTCGACTTTGGGTCTTCGTCCAAATGGCTCTGCCCTTTCCTGGGGCAAATCCACGAAATGACCGGCGCGCGTCACTTTGGAATTGTAAGCAAGTAGCAATCGCTTGGAAAAGGAGCCTGGTAAGTCGGGTTCCGGCTATGGGGGTTGGGAAATGAACCACACTTACAAGAGAGTGGCAGGGCTAAGCAGCCCTGTGGCTGCACTTTGTGGAGGTACACTTGGTACCAGGGCAAGTCGCAGCAAGACGCCCATGAGTTCCTGCGAACTCTGTTGGGCGCGCTGGGCGAAAAGGAGAAGGACAGCACCACGCCTGCAAATGCAGTGTCCCCAATGCGCAGCACGAATCGCTGGATTTACATGAAGTGAACTGGGCAGATGGCCATCGGAGCTTCCATGAGGCTTTTGCCCGGAGCCGAGGCTTGCACCCCATCCGCAGCTTCCAAGGCTACACGTGTGAAGCTGTGCTTTGCTGGTCCTGCAGGCTGTCACAGCCGCTTTCCGGGCTGCTGTGGACATGCCATGTCAAAGGTAGACGTTTTCCAGGCCAAGGGGTGGAGCACGTTGCCGGTCCGTTTCTCGATTTTGGGGTGATAGGCACAGAACAAAGAAGTAGACTGGGCCTTGCCGAAAATGGTGGCAAGCACCCTGACTGTGATGGAAGATGCGGTATGGAGCACATTTGCCAATTCTTGGGGGGCCGTTGGGAGGAAAAAAAGAATTGCAAGGCAGCCATCAGACTTGCCGGTGCTTTCTGCTGCGTGCTGCGTGATCTTATGCTGGTCAGGCAGATCTCTCTTCGGCAGGAAATGTTTCTGGAAGCGTGCCTGCATGAAGGAGCTGGTTTCTTCCATTTGGTGGAAGGGTTGAGTAGCATCACTGACTATTGCATAGATGCATTTTGAAGTCGTGTGCTCTCTGAGGATCTTTCTCTAGACATACACGACATGGAGCATGATGAGCCTGGACCTCTTGGATTGCACGGCTGGATCATGAAGCCTAGATGCGCGAGGCTTGGTTTGCATGTTTCTCTCAGTTTTGGCCTGTGGCTTTGCCCTCCTTTGCTCGTGCACTTGATCCGCGTTCGATTTGCATTGGTGCTTTGGCGGCCGGCTGGACGTTCGGGATGGCGCAGGGAGAGAGAGACAGAGAGAGAGAGAGAGAGATGCCCGGTCTGTTTTGCGTGTTTGGTTGCTTTAGCAACGTCTCCGTGCATTACCTGCACTGAGACCATCGTAGGCTCAGCCCTTTTGTTTTGCAATGTATTTTCATATAGTTCGAAGGCAAGTCTGTGGCAAAAGATCACGTGCGCAGTCCGCTTAGGCTGTTCAAACAAATCCTGCGTAGGCCGCTTCGCTTAGGCATTTTTTCCTTGCACAAAGTTAAGAGTAGCGCCCGAGAAAAGTCTGCGAAGGCACTCTGCGCACGCGTTTGTTGCAGCGTAGCTGGCGTAGGCACCCTTCCATAGTTTTACATTTTTGCACCCGCGGAGGCTCCGGGAAGGCACGACTGCCACCGTATAGGGCTGATACACCCAACAAGAACTCCACTCACCTTGCGGTTGCAGCGGGTTTCGCAGGTGGGCCTAAACCCAACGGCGGCCAGCGTTTGTTAAAGCTCTGGTTGCCTCCGTTGCGATGCCAGGAATGCTGTGGATGTAGAGGAGCCCGTGGAGATAGAGCCCGAGCCTCTTGGCCTGAATTTGTCTGGAGGGAGTTATGATTGGCTCAGAAAATTGGGCAACCGACCTGCAACCCAGATCTCAGAGCCACAAAGACAACCAAATCCGCGGCTTGTCGCGAAAGCTGGCCTCGAAGGAGGTTTGTAGCTGGGAGGGGACGAGTGACAAGACTGGGCCCGACGGTCCAGTTTCTCACAAAGGGTCACATGTTTGGGGCTCTTCAAGACGCATGCGTTGCTGTTTGTCGAAATTGACTGCATAAATCTGCATAAGATTGTTCAACGTTCGTGGTGTGTTTGCCGGATGCATGCCTTCCATCTGCATTGCTGGTTCACAAGCGTATTTGGGGGGACGATACCTGCGAAGAGGGGTTGTCTAGAGCAGGCTGGTGAAAAGGCAACGTTGGCCCTTCTGGCAATCTCAAATTAGGTCCTTAATTTTGAGCCACACCCACTTATGTTGTTCCTTCCAATGGGCACAGTCTCCTGGCGTGCGCATGTTGACAGTACGAACATTATCGTTTTTCGGGTCTTGTGCTGTAAACAACGCTTGCTTTCTGTCACGGAGGCCACAAAACGCCAAGGCATTTGCCACGAATGTTCAATGAGAGTGTGATTAGGCGAGCAAGCCTCACGTCCGATTTGAGGCCAGATGCAGAGGCAAAGGACGAATTTGGAGATGCCGTCATCGAGGTGCAGCTGGATCCTAACGCAAGCATCTAAATGGAGGTCCCTACCCTCAACCCGTTGGTTGACAAAGTGTAAGGGCGCAAATGTTTGGGCATGTACCACCGCCTTCTCTGTCGGTTGTGCCTTCCATTAGTTTCAAGGCTGCATACTCTCACATCGAGTTATGTGTTCAAGCTGATATGCCCGTTCGGGTTGGCGCAATGCATTGCTGTCAACGCAGCGGTAAATGTCGCACACAAATAGTCTGTTCGTTTGTTATATGCTCGGCTGACCAGAGCCGGTCAAGAGGTGTTGAGTAGGTGCGTCGGGGCCTGCATGTTGATCTTTCTGCATGTTCAACATAAGCGCCAGAAAGCAATGTTTGGGGAGAGAGCTCGGCCACGATGCTCAATTACGCCGCAGGATGTAGCTTCCTCTGTTCAGGAGTCCGCTCAGATTTTTGCAGGGTGCTGCAGGTCCAATTGCACAATATCATGCAAGAAAAACGGCGGGCAACTTCTCACCGCAACATGCTTACGAGAAAATGTTGTGATATCGGTAGTGATGCTCGTGGCTTTCATGCTTATGGGAAACAGTAATTCTTATAGCCCCGTTCGGCCATGTCCGTGTATTTATGCTCCGTATTGATTCGTAGCATGACCCTTCTTAAGATGACGTTTTGTGACAACTGTAATCATAACCCTAAGACGCTGGCTGCGACTTGATGCTTCGACCACCTTGGCGGTCACCATAAGCCGACTCTGAGAGAGGTCCTTTCACCACCTGCCTTGTCTCAACGTGTTGTTCCAACCAAGGAGCGCGCTCCTGGTCGCCGGGTCGCTTTGGGCTTCGAGTGGGCAGACGAACCTCAGCACGACCGCAACGTTCTGCGACGTGGGGGCCTATGGTTTGGGGTCTGGGCCGGTCTCAGCGAGAGGGCGATGGCTCGCCGCCTGTTGAATGAATTGCCTCATTTCTGAATGATGGCATTGTGTAAGTCAAGTGCATTTGCGTTTCTTTGCGTCCCCAGGCATGCCCTTTTGCCCTGTTCCAACCCTTTCCTGACTCGGTTACAGCGCGTAGGGTGCGCGCTTGAAGCCTTTGCTACAAGTATCTGCCGACTTTGCTTAACATTGTTGCCTGAGCCGTGGCGCTGTTTGCATGAGGCGTTCTCCCTGGCACTATGGCCGATCAGTGGAACAAGCGGCAAGGAGGTCGGCTAGTTCCAGGGCTGCTGCTTTTATCGGTCAATGGCAACCTGACTGGAGCTAAAGCCCCTGGTGAGTGTTTGACCCAGGCCTTGTTTAAAAGTGCCATCCAAGGTGAGGAAGATCGCGATGAGATCATGCAAGCCTCTCGGCTCAGAAGAACTCATGGCAGTCAGTCAATGGATCCGCAATGGAGACATCCAAGCCTTTCTTTTTTCTTCCTGAAAGCAGCTTATGCCGAAGGTCCTCAAAGATGAGCAAAAGTTGCTCTTCCGGTTTCTGCCGGAGGAGATCATGAATGCCCAGAGGGGCAAAGGAGCAGCATGTGCAGCGAACGGCTTTCAGGTGGAGCTGGTTGCTTGGTATAGCTTGGCATTGCTTGACCTGTGCTTGAAGCATCTTTGTTATGGGAAGGTTGGCAGCACTGGGCTCGCTGAGGCAAAGGACAGCACATCCAAAGCTTGGGGCTTCCAGCTGAGCAGCGAGGGCGGAGCTCTGGTTGTCTCGCAGATTCTCCCAGACTCGGTGCTGGATGCCTGGAACTTGCGCTGCAGATCCACGGGCCGGCAGGGCCTGATCGTGCACGCAGGGGGGCCTATTTCACCTGCAATGCGGTATTCCATTTGGCTGTGGGTCAAAACCAATGGTGCCATTTTGGGGTAGGTGCACCACCCATTTCAGTCTATTTTAGTGGGGATTGGGATGTTCACTGGGGGTACGGGATTTTGACCCATGGCCATTTGGGTTCAAAGTCACTCCTTGCTTGTGCCGGATGATGTTGGTTTCCCCATGTCCCAACAACCCAGCCTGGCGAGATTTCGGGCTTGAGGCTGGGGACCGGGTGCTCTCTGTCAACGGAAAGACCGATGACGCGGAGATGTCCAAAGCTTTGTCCAACCCGGCGAGGCGCAAGAACCTGGTCGTCTTGGAGCCTGGGGACCGGCAATCCGCTCCAGTTCGAGACAAGCAGGCAGGGAAGCCACCCAACAAGGCTGCCCTCAAGAATCATGGTACTCTGACGGCTGGAAAGGGGTCTTGCCCAAAGAAGTCTTCCAAAAACCGTCCTGGCAGCTTCGGAGAGATGAGCAGTTTGCACTTTTCCTCCCCTTGCCCTTCAAATACTAAGCAGACGAAGGTTCCCTGAACAAAAACGACAACCAGGACTTGGAAGATGATGCCACGTTCGACATCGAGCTTCACCCGCTGGGTACTGCTTGGGGCTTCCAGCTAGAGGAACCTCACGAAACTGGTGCGAAGGTGAAAGGCATTGATGGAGGCTCTCCGCTCGCGCTCTGGAACACGACTTGCCTCTCACGAGGCCGCCTGCAACCGGCACCACTCATGGCTGTGCATGTTTTTTGGCCCGTGTGCGTTTGCAACGTGTGTGTGTGTGTGTGTGTGTGTGTGCGGTTTGCAGTGTCAATACTATCCTGCTTACACGTTCCGCTCTAAACGCGTGTGAAAATTCCGGACGAGATTTGTGATCCCCTGCGCCAAACTTCCTTAGATACCGCCCTCTGATAAAATCCAGGCCTCTGAAAAAAGATACCAGACAGATCGCACCTTACGCTTGGTGACTACCAGTTTCGCGTCATGAAGCACAACCACAGATGTGCGCGCTAGGTGACGAACATCTCTGTGTCGAAGCCGGCGATGTTCTGCTGGACTCTGCAGATGTGCCGATGGCTGGCAGTCGCACCTTCAAGCTACGAAGGGCCAAAGAGAGACAGGCGCGGCGCAGAGCCGCACACGTTTTCAGCGCGAAGAATGCACAAGACGCACAAGCAACAAGATGCCCATTTGTTGTATCACGTGCTTGGTCAGCGGCAGCCTAGAATCCCTCGTGAGATGTAGTAGTCAATAACTTGTGATGCCATCAGATCAGAAAAAGGAGTCCATCTACGATCTTCTAGAGATGTGAGCCATTGCCTGCGGCTCGTTCCACAGCAATTGCAGGCCTCGTTGGGCGCCCTGCGTGCTGCGGCAGTCACGAAGAGCTTGCCATCTCTGCCAGAGGAGCGTCGCCTGGCGTTGGTGCAGGCGCTGGGGTTGTGAGGGGTGGGCCTGCTGCTGGCCGATGGGATTTTGCGAAGCTGAGTACAAGCCGAAAAAGCCGAGCATTTGTGTAGGCACACGCCACACGCCTACACAAAGGTTCGTTCAACAACATTTAGCCAGCTGCGCCATCGCCACAGAAGCTGTGCAGTTCCGGACTATGCAAGAGTCGCCGACCTTGGGCCAACCCTGTAACAAAAGCTTCAATGACAAGGGCGTAAGAAGGGGGAACATGGCACAGCCCAAACCTATCTACGTTCCACAGTTTCAATGGAATTGTTCGGGGTTTGCGGGTCAACACTTGGTGTTTTGTTACGCATTTTGCAGAAGCACGTACGAGCAAAGTGCACTGAGCTTTGAACAAGCAACAAGAGGACTGTAAGTGAATCTGCCTAGAGTGCCAGAAGCAATGTTGCAATTGCGCGCGGAGGTTATCTTGTGTCGCTGTATTGAGGTGGCGATCCCGGTTCTAGATGTGAGCGTTGGCGGGCTAGACCCATCAAGTTCATGACTTCCATGGTGCCCTCATCTAGTACTCTGGTTCGGCTAAGCCTTTGTCATGGATTGTTGGTTCTCAAAACGGCGGTCCCCTCAAATTGTTGGTCTTCTTTGGTTCCCTTTTAACACCAACCAAAAGGGGTCCACCATTTCGATGAGTACTCAAGAGCAAGCCGCCAATCCAAAGCACCAAGAGAGAGGATGGTTGCAGGCGGCCAGTGAGTGCACTGCGGCGCTGGCGGAGCCCTTGGCCGAGATCTTCTCTGCACGGACCGAGTCTTTGAGACTGGTCACCTTGGCCGACTGCGTTAGGCTCGGAATGGTTCGTTGGATGCATCGAAAGATCAGACTGAGAACATCGATCCTTTGCAAAGAGAGAGCACGTGTAACAAGCAAGTTGAGCTTGCTGAAACATTGGGCCCTAATGCTGACTGGGGTTGGCGTTTGGATTCTTGGGTGCGAGCTCCTCATGAAAACGGGGCTCCTGCATAAAGCTGGAGCAGCGTCATTTGCAGGAGCATGTTTGCTTGGTTGCTTGTTTGTTTCTCATCCGTCCCTCGTTTCTTCTCTTGTCCGTGTGGGTATGCATGCGGACATCAGTCCATGCCATATAGGTTGGATTCAGCTCCCTTTTTCCGGGCCAAGCTTGACAGCTGGGCCCTTGGGTACTCACCCCCTCCAGGCGGGGCTAACGCATGTGTTGCACCGTAGTGATCGTATTGGCGTTTTGCCACGCCTAGCATTGTGGTGCATGTCCAAGAAATATATAAATATATAAATATACCCTCTACTCCAAGAACCTTTAAAAATTAAGGATGCGAACGAAAAACCTGGTTTTGAGCCTGTGGCTTACCGAAAACAGGGTTTTCCAACCGAAAACCCGGTTTTACTTTTAAAAACCCATACAAAAACCATACAAGACCCGTACAAAACCCATACAAAACCCGTACGTTTGTATGCTTTTCATAAAACCGGGTTTTCCCGCAAAGAACCCGGTTATTTTCGAGAACCTTTAAAATAAAAGGTTCTTGGAGTAGAGGGTATATATATATATAATTATTGAAGTAAGGTTTCTTGAACAAGGATACTCAAGCTGGGCATGTTGAACTCGCCCAGGATGTTGCATGTTGCAGCTTGGGCAAAGAGTGGGCGTCTTGCTAGGCACCTTGGCTCGGTGGAGGCTTTGGAGGAGGATTTTCTGCCCATCTACAAATGTCCGCAGTGATGCTGGGCATGCGATAGTGCTTGTGGCCTTTCATGCATGTGTCGTCCTTGCGGCGACTGCAAGCCGTTGACCCTGAATGCATGCACTACGCATTTAGAACCCCAAGCTCTATGCACGTCCGCATGCATTGTCATGGCTACATGTTGGAGTAGCGAGCGCTACCTGAAGTTACTGCATGAGAACGAGCAGGGCGATTCACAAATGGCATGCTCAACCCACCAGAATGGTTTCTCTGTTCTTTGCGCGAGCCTTGCCACGGCGCCTGGTGGTGACACCCGAGGTGAGGCTCGAAGCTTTGCTTCCAAGCGAAGTTGGCTGCGGCCACCTTTGCCCCACGTGCTTCCAGTGCAGCTGAAGCGACGCCTGGGCCAAAAAGTGCGGTCCAGATCTAGCAATGCGTTTGCTTGAAGCCTTCGTCACGACAGAACGTTGAAATTCTAGCAGGTGCAGGGACATGCCTTCATGTCTCTTCAAAGAACAAACATGGTAGCCTACGAGCATGAAACAGATAATTTGGATCGCTTTTGAGTTGTGTTGTAAAGGACACTTGGGCGCCTAGTTTGTTGTTGGCAAGCCCGAAAATACCTCTCCCCAGGGGAGTTGGCCATAGGTACAAGATTGCAAGACAAACCTTGGTGAACTACGGTGCAGGCTAAGTCAAGGGCAGCCATACTTATGTGATTCAGATATGACGATGTTTGATTGGCAGTTATGTTTTTGTTCCGCTGGGTGTAAGATTTGTTTACACCTATTTGCTGGGGATAACTAATGCGCCCGGGCAGTCGTAAACAAGTTGTACAAACAAATCGTTTGCAAAACGTAGCCGAAATCGTGAAGCAAACACGTTTTGTTTTTGTTTCTTCTTTTGTTTTTCTCTTTTTTCCCCAACAGCTGAAAGCTTTGGGGTCTCAGCCCAGATAGGCTCCGGGGTGGTCCAGGGCGGGTCTGAGGTAACCAAGGTTCCACCAAGGCTCCACCAGGTTGTGGGGCGGGGTGGTTTGAGGTAAGGTTCCACAAGGGGTTCCACCAGGGTTCCACCAGGGTTCCACCAGGGTTCCACCAAGGTCCCACCAGGGTTCCACCAAAGTTGCAGAGTGGTCCGGGTTGTTTGAGGTAAGGTTCCATGAGGTTTCCACCAGGGTTCCACGGCTTGCCTTGGAGGGAAGCAATGCGTCTTGCGCCCGCCGTCTAAAAAGCCATCGGAGCAGTAAGTTGACTCAGAAGATCGCTTGCGGAACACTAAGCGAAACCGTTATCAATGGATGTCAGCACACTTTCTGATTGTTTTGACTTGCTCACATGTTGGCTTTGTGGCCAATCAGATTACGTTGCTGCGGGGCTGACTGTTCACAGAGTAAATGCTTGGCATTCCTGAGTATTACTTGGTGGGCTTTGGGTTCCAAGCGTTCCACGAGGCTGCGAGGGCTATGAAGTAAGGTTCCAAAAGCGCCCCACGAGGTTTCCACAAAGTTCTGTAAAAGCTATGGGGCAGCCCCCAACAAAGTTTCACGCTGAGTTAGGTTGGGGCTCGATTGCACCGTCGGGCCCCACTTCGGGGCCCGATTGCACCGTCAGGGCCCGATCGGGCTCCGATTGCGCCGTCAGGCCCGATCGGGGCCCGACTGAGCCGGGCCCCGTCAACTATACCAAGCTGGCATCGCCTAGTTTTGCTAAATACATTCGTAAGGCTGCGTCCTAAGGAAAACCGGCATTGAGCTATATAATTGGGTGGCTGGGGTTGGTGGGAGCCCGCTTGCGCCACGGAACCGTCGGGCCCGATCGGGCCCCGATTGCACCGTCGGGCCCCGATCCCCGACTCAGTCGGGCCCCGTCATCCATACCAAGCTGGCATTCGCCTAGTTTTGCTAAATACCTTCGTAAGGCTGCATCCTAAGGAAAACCGGCGTTGAGCTATAATATGCTGTGCCAAGCTGGTATCGCCTAGCTTTGCTAGACGCATTCGTAAGGCTGCGTCCTAAGGAAAACCGCCACGAGACCGTTGGGGCCTGATTGCACCGTCGGGTCCCGCTCGGGCCCCGATTGCACCGTCTGGGCCCGTTCGGACCCGATTGCGCCGTGGGGCCCCGATCAGGGCGCGATTGCGCTGTGACTCTTAGCTTTTGCTTTATAAAGTTACAATGCGGCATCCTCAGCAACACCGGCGGTGAGGTGGGTTCCGGGGCGGGTTCTGTGAGGATTCTGAGAGGGTGTGGTGCTGTTGGGGATATCGCCCAAGCTTATTTGCGTAAACAGTTTTGTTTTACCATCTTTGTTTTACAATTTCCGGCACCCCCCGGAGGAGGGGTGCTTAACGTGTAAAACAGATGCAGATGAATTCTGAATGGCGCGGAAATCGTTCTGAAATCTTAAATGTGAATCGACCAAGACATGTATATTGAAACCAGGTACAAAAAGAAATCATCTGGGTGTCAGGAAAACGCCACTTAGCCTGACAGCGCAGGTATCAAAACTAAGTGTCAAGTGTTTCAGGTGTGCTTGTCTCCCCGAACAATCCTTTTCCGACAAATAGGTGAGCCACACATGAAACACATGCATGTCCTCCAGCCAACGTTACTTTCCGGGGTAGAAGCAATCGTTCCGGGCAGCCTTGGAAAGCTTAGATTTCCTGTAGCATTCACACCTTTGTTGAGGTAGTTGGTTTGTTTCCAAGGGAAGGTTCCTTTGGACAAGTTTGAATTAAGCACAAAACTGATATTTTAAACTCAAGCTCCGAAATTTTCCGAAGCTCTTGCTCCAACGGCCCGACATTTGCTCCATTCTATCTCCTGTCATTCGTCTGAGAACTAATTCGTTGCAACAGCGTCCAACCAGACGTTTATGAGGCATGGACAGCCTGCACGAAGTAGATGTAGGCATTGTTTATGACAACTTAGTGATGTGAAGCAAAAGGCTTAGACCGAGCCCCCAAAGCAAAGCCACAGCAACGCCACAGTGTTCAAGGCAAATTGATTGCAGAGCACAAGTTGGGATGTGACCCAACTTAATCATGGGGTCCTCTCAATGTCCTCCACCTTTCCAAAAAGCAGAAACAAGCGTCTAGGAACAGAAACTTGCACATGGAATTTCTGTTCTTGTACGAGTTTAAATAACAAACTATGCCAGTGTTGCAAGCGTGCAATACGACACATGCTTGCATTTCCGGATCTATGCATTCAACACCCCAGAATTGAATTGGACATGTTCAACCTGCTGGAGGGATCCGGGAGCAGGATATTGATTGATACGAACTGGCCCAGGCCCATCTTTCCCGGCTGAGCGTTTCAAACTCCGAGGATTTCACCGCCAGAACGGGAGCTTCCAAAAGTCGAGGACCCGGGTGCAGACCAGCTGCACGCTGGACCTCAAGGACTTGCTCCTATCAGCGGAAGAGGCACATCAGCCGGGAGCCCGAGAAGCTGAGGCAAGAACAATGACACTGGCGAACGGAGTCAGGGCGAATGTGGGACTGACTGAATTCTCAGGACGTGAAAAATGGACAGCTTCGGCATGAGGAGGGCAACAAAAACAACATTGTAATAGCAAACAACTCAAGCACCGTTTAACATGTAACTGCCCTCCCCACCTTGTCAGTAAGTGGACCCTGCTGCAACTAGCTGCCATGAGGAGCAGCAAGGGCGCCCTTCCTTCTGCTGCTGTGGGGTTCATTCACTGAGCGATTTAGAGCTCAAGCCCAGTGCAAATGTGAATCAGTGATAGGATCGAGGGCGAACGGACATGGCAAAGTCGCTGAGGTTGCAAGCGTTTGCCAAGAGCGAGGCTGGGAGCCTGCTGCCGGACCATGAGCTACAGACCTCATATGATGCCGGGCAGCAATTTCAGAAGCTTTCTTGGTGCAGGATTCGCTGGGGAAATGTCTCAGGATACTTGGTTCTCTGGCATTCTGCGCGGGTGCTCATGCACTCTCACCCAAACTGAAGCGTGTTGAGTAGTTTGAGGATGTCGGGCCCTGCATCTTGTAGAAACACATGTTGGATGTCTTAGTTTTTTTTGCAATGCATCCGGCATCATCTTAGGCATTCCGCTTTGTGTTGTTGCTGCGCTGTCAGGGCCCGGTTGAATTGCCAGCTGCTTTATGGGAGTCAGTGCAAGATGCTAGTTCACGCATGTCCACGACAAATTTGTTGGCCGTACCATTTCCAGCACTGAATGGCCAGGGAGTGACTTTATTGATCACCCTTTTGAGCAGGGCCGGCAAACAAGCATGTTGATAGGACTGTTGGATTCGGCGTGGTGGGCCAGCTTATGTCTATTTCAAGTTGATTGATTGCGGAAACACACAAAACAAGTGTGAAGTGTTGGCATATAACCAAGAACTTGCAGGTAACCAAACAACGAAGATCATCTTTACCGGTCGTTTCCTTTCGTTTGAACATGGCACATTGTGGCTATGTCATGTTACCTGAAAGGAATGAACAGGCTGGCCAAGCAATGTCACCACGGACACTTTGAGGGGCATATAGTTAGTATAGTTTGAGAATCGGGCTCAGAGTACCAGACACTAGCACAACCTTGTTCAGGATATTTTGGGACCCTGAGATGGTGTCCATGGTTGAAACAAACGGAAACAAGTACGTTAAGATGTCAACCTTTTGGATTGGACGCAGCCAATGCAAGGAGCTTTATGCAGTATGCGCTCACCTTGGAAGAAGTATGGAGTGCGGACACTACATCGCCTTCATTAACACCGGTCCAAGTCTTCAACATGAGGCAGTGGCAAAGCATAGCACCGTTTTGATGGTTGGCCGTCAGCTGCAGTACACCTTCGACAAGCAAGTTGGACATGCAGAGATCCATGCATTCCCCCTGCAGGGCAGGAAGGTCGTGATATGGGCGCCAGGGGACCGCAGGTTTTGGTCCATGTTTCCACTTACCAGGGTTCCATTTTGGGTACATATCTTTGACACCACGGCCATATTGCTTTCTGCTTGAGCTGCGGGCAGTTCTCGCTTTGGCGCTGTTCAGGCATGGTTTCTCCTGGATGATGCTCAGACACTGCCATGCCGAAGAGAGGATGTTCTTCGGGCGGAAGCGCCGCGTGGCAAGATGCGATGGCGCAGCGTCATACTTGGCCTTCTTGCGACCGATCAGTTCTGACACAGGTACATCGCATTCTACCGCAAGGCAAATGGAAGCTGAACCGGTGGTGGCAACGGACTGCAGAGGCAGGAAGTTGCATGCAAGAATTGATGCTACGCTGCTCAGCAGACCCTGTCAGGCAGAGGGATGAACCTGATTTCCAAGCAGACGGTCCTGGCATTGAAGGCACCGCTGTCAAGCCACCGGCTTGGCTCAGACCCAGAATTCCTTTACACTTGGAATCGGTCACCATGGGAGCCAGGCTGAGGGGGAGTCGCTTCTTTTCGGAATCTTTTTCATTCTGCTTTTGCGGCTTGCACTGAAACATGCTGCAGCGCATCTCGGCGCAGAAGTCCAACACAGCACGTCAAGCTCGAATTTCTACGAGCTTGAGATGTTGAGAAAGCCAGTGAACACAGTGAACCAACATGTCTCAACGTTCCTCAGATGTTTGGGCTTCTCAAGGTTTAAAGGCGGCTTGCCGAATTTCAAGGCCCGCTTTGATCCGGAGTGCGGCCTAGAGCTTGATTCGCAGCCATGGCCCCAAAGGGCAGCAAGACCAAGAAGGCCGGTTGGGCCCGAGGGAATGAAATGAGACGGGTCAAAGTTGCCAGCTTTGCTTCCAATTGCTGCACGACAGGGGTCTCACGAAAAGATGCCCTTGCAGCATACCCCTGCAGGAAACCAGCAGGAGGCTTACTAAGATTGACCGTGGCTCAAACAAGAAGCCCGCGTCCCATTTGCCCCGAGTCGGTTGGTCGGTGTGCGTGTGCCCCGGGGTCCTCCTTCGTTTGAAGGGCGGGAAGTTGAAAGCTGGCATGGGTTCGCAAATGAGCGGATGGGTGTGCTGCGTCCGTCTTCCTCAGCCGCAAGATGAGCCCAGTTTTTCTTTTGGCATTTGTTGCCCACTGGCAATGTCGCTGCAAGGTGTTGCATGGAGTAATCATGGGTGTGATTCACACACAAGCAAATGTGTTACACAGACATGTCATCATAGATTATTTACCCAGGTGTGAACGACTCCTATATGCATATTATATATCTATGTACACATACATACATGCATACATGCACGCATGCATACATGCATACATTACGCTACTATACCCTACACTATTCTACATTGCATTACATTATTACATACATATGTGTATATATATATATATATATATTTATTTATTTAAAACAAATGTACATTCACATGCATATGTCATGTGCAGTAGCAGCTTGTAAATGTGTACCATCCAGACCAAGCCAGACAAAGCAAACTTTGCCTACCAGTTTGGAACCTTTGGGAAGGCCTGTGTGAGTGGACTTCTCGACACGCCATTCACTCAGTGGCAACCTTTGCCGCGCTCGAATGGATGCAGGCCCGCGGCGAGGAGGCGAGGTCAGATGAGGCAAAGCCAGAGGAGGCAAGGCCAAAGAAGAGGCCAGAGGAGAGGCCAGAGGAGAGGCCAGAGGAGAGGCCAGAGGAGGCAAGGCCAGAAGCTCTGATGCAGTTTTACCTTGTGCAGAAAAGCACCTTTGGAGACAAGCATGTTGCAGAAACGCAAGTTTCGCGTTGCTAGGCGAGGCTTTCAGGTTTGTTTTGCGCCCGCCGTCTGAGCTCCAAACAGCTCTTGAGCGGGCGTGTTTTTGTTGCTTCTCGCAAACGTGCGTGTGAAAGAGAACGTGGGCTGTTTTTCGGCCCGCGCGGGAAGATAAAGATAAACAGGAAGGAAAGAAAGAGTGAGAGAGAGAGAGAGAAAGAATCAAAAAGGGAGAGGGAGGGAGACAGCGGAAACATATGTATTTATCGATATAGGGAAGTGCCTTATAACACTGACAATGACAACTGTAAAACCCAGGATCCTTGAACACCCATCTTTAGAGGTGTAGCCATGAGAGAGCTTCCAAGGGATGCTTGCAACATGGCCTGCCTTTTAAGCGCTCGGCAATCCTCCCGAAGTTGACTCTGCGCGACCTGCTTGCTTTTACATAGGCCATCAACACCGTGCCAAAATCAGTTCCAAGGCTTCTGCGAGAAGGAAACACCGCATGCAGCATGTGCCAGCAAATTTCAGTTAGAGGACTCGAGGGCTTGTCGGTTAGCTGATCATTTCTTATGAATAGCGCAAGCGCCTTGCAAAATGGCCTGTCTCGTCTTAGGGAATTCCTTTTTGGTTTGTTTCAAGAGGAAAATAAACAGAACATCACAATTTGGGAAATTCCACTGAAACAGACAAGCCCAAATATAGCAATCGTGCGATGACCGCCCGGAGGGTCATTCTCAAGCATCGAGCGCGTGGCCCTGGTCTTGGCAGGACTCATCTGAAGACGACATCAGGGTCATGAGAAACCGCCAGGCGTCTTCAACTGATGCAGGCGACGCCGTGAGACAGGGAAAGGATCAGATCGAACAAGAGGCAAAAGCCTTCATGGAAGGATCAAGGACTTGTGGGGTGTGACATTGAGTGCTGGTTTTGACTTTGAGAACCGGCCCTGTGAATTCGGTGTCCCTGATGCAGCAACTGGGTTTGAGGGTTGGTTGAACCATGTTCTCCAGGCAGGTGTGACTGGAAAAGCGGGACTTCATGCCAGCCATCATTGTGGGCACTTGTCCGGGTCGTGTTATGTTGCACCGTTTCTGCGATGCGTTGAATGGGTAAGGCTTCGGGCGCACTGCTGCTCATAGTTTGCCAGCGAGTTTGCCACATTGCGGAGGTGAGTTGAGGCGGTTGAATGCCATCAAGAAGCGCCAGAATGGAGGAGCAGACCAGAAAGCGAAGGCGAAGACTGTGAAGAGCGAGTTGACTGATGACTCGGCTGCTTGTCCTTGAAGACGCCCATTTGCAGCGGTTTCCATTAGCACGCACCTTCAGCCCACATTTTGTCAGAAGGCCTCGGCATGGCTTTCGAACATACGATCGATGAACATGAACTAAAGCGTATCCTAGTTCGGCTTTGAACGCAGAAGAGGTGCCGCATGAAGCATCTATATCTGATATTTGTCAATGATCAGGGACGTCCGGAATGATGGCTCAGGATGGGTCCGAGGTTGGAATCGAAATGCTCTCCCTTGCAGCCAGAAACGTGCCCAGCTCAGCAGAAGCTCTGAGTTCTGCCGGGCGCCGGCTGGCATTTGTCCACAACTTGACAACGCCAACGAGCTGAGGGTAAGGCGGATAAGAAGAAGAAAGCCCAGGCGCGACACGCAACGCAGCTCGCAAAATTGTTGCTTTTGAACACTTTGGTGCCGGAGATTCGCAAGATGACCGTGGCCCTTTGTCGCGGGAGAGCATGGGAACATTCTTGTTGCTGCCTGACTTGCTCAGAAAGTGCAGGCAGGAGCCAAAGCAGTTCCAGCAGAGCCAGAGGCTGGCGCGCGACAAGGGCGACAGCGGCTGGCGCTCCACCTGTTCAAGAGTTTGCTCCATTTGGGGGTGTCCTTTTTAGAGAACCCCCCCCCAACGAAAACAATATGTTTGCCTGTTGGTTTCCCTTCAGAAGCCACACAAAAGGGTGTACCACCCATGTTGGTGGCAAAAGGTCGCCGCAGTGACAGCTGTGGGGCAGATTGTTGGGGGATGTGGATTAGAAAGTTTCAAGGATGAGAGTCCACAGCATGCAGAGCCTTTTGTGCTTGCGTGTTCACATTTGCTTGAGCACAGGCTGGCCAGGGAGATGATTCGCTTGCTGTACTTGTCAGAAACCATCCCGGATGCAGAATGAGTATGCCCGAACAGGTTTTGACACCCACAATTCGGCTATGTGAACACACGGGGTAGAGTAAATCTGATTGCAATGGGCAGCGCACTCCCCACGCATGCATGACCCCTGCTCTAAACCCGTGGCAGAGAGTGACTCTCTTGCATAGCGGGAACCTTGCAGGCAGGAGGAGCCAATGCAGTTCCGTCAGAAGCTTCAGCAGAAGCAGTTCCTGCAGAGGCGGCAGAGGCCGGGTGGCAAGGGAGGCAAGCGGCTGGTGGAGGGTGTGGCTTTGGGGCTGTCCTGACCATTGCTCAGCGATGTAACTCCAAAGGCAGGGCCTGAACCTGGAGTTGGCTCCCCAAACTTTGTGCTTGTAGCCGGCAGGGTTCATGAGCGTGCCATGGCAGGAGGCGTTGTTCGTTGCGAGTGTTTGACAAAGAATTGCAAATGTTGGCGCATGAATCTACCATACTCATTGTTGCTTCCTCATTCCACTTTGGTCCGAAGCAAGTGTTCAAGGTCGGCTGCAGCCAAGCGTGGTTATGCGATGCCTGTTCCAAAGCATCATCCCCTCAAACATGGCACCTGCCACCGATGCATTGATTTCAGTACTAGCCGCCTCTAGCCCTTGCAGGGAAAGTTGAAAGCACATGACAGAGCATTGAGGGCCCCGCTTGGCTGTGACAGTCGGCGCTGGTTTCCATTGCGCAAGAGCACTTGCAAGAATCAGCGTTTTTGTGCATTGGCTGAACTGATTGAAACTTTCGCCCGTGTGCGGGCTGGTTGAACAGGGTTGTTTTGACGAGCGCTGAGATGTTGGGCACAGGGGCTATGGAGAGCGGGGGCTCTTTTGAAAGATGGAGACAGAGAGATGGAGAGAGAGAGAGAGAGAGAGAGAGCGAGAGATGATGCATGCAGGGGTCCAGTTGAACAGCGCGTGCCCGGCCCGGCAAGCTTGAACATGCTTTTGCTTAGAGTGAACCATGCACGTTTTTCTACGCACCATGGCCCATGCAACGTGTGCCCTAACTGTATTGATCATGTTTGTGTTTCAAGGCAAGTGGCATCACTTGAGCAAAAATCTAGCCAAATGTTTTTTTTTGGTACGCCTGATTGATTACATGGGCTGCCACCTGAGCACTGAGAACAGGTGGGTGCGAAAGCCGCGCCACCAATCGCATCTGACATGGACGTCGAAAGCTACGCAGACCACAACGAGCCGGGAAGACAAATACTGCTGGCACTGGCTGTTTGCCCTGTTTGCCTGTCTTTCCTTCTGACAGTTGCGTGTGTGCGTGCGGGCTGCCTTTCCTGCCTTGCTGCCTGCCTTGCTGCCTGCCTTGCTGCCTGCCTTGCTTCCTAGTTTGGGGGGGGGGGGGTTCTTGAGCATTCAGCAAGCACTGGCATTTTCCGACAACGATGCCCGCCTTTGTTGTGCTTAGCACACATGCTTGAGCGCAGCGTAGCCAAGAAGAGCCTGCTGTTGCCTTAACAGTTGCTTGCCTTTTCACATGTCAGCGATTCGTCACTGATGCATATTTGAGTACGCTAGAAAGGAAGAGCGAGGGATAGAGTTGCATTTGAGATCTTTTCTTTGGTGGTTGTCAGGCAATGGCGTGTGCAGAAAGGAGGAATGTGTGGAAAAAACGGTGTTTTATGAAGGAGCAACGTTCACCTCCGGCTTGACCGAACCCGTGAAGCACGCAGAAGCATGGCAGAGAGTGACTCGCTGTCATCACGGAACTTTGCAGGCAGAAGGAGCCAAAGAAGTTCCGTCAGAAGCGGTTCCAGCAACAGCAGCTCCTCCAGAGGCGGCAGAGGCCGAGGGGCGGCAAGGGAGTCAACGATACGTCGCGTTTGTGTTTTCTATTGGTGCCGTACGTCCGCATGTCTCGTTGTTGTGTAAAGGTTTAATCAAGTTCTGCCAAATGCAGATGGGCCAATGAGGGGAAGCACTTTAACCTAAGTTTGTTGGTCTTGACTGGTCACATGTTTGAAGGTGAGGTTGGTACAGGTTGGTACGGCTCATAGGCCAGGCGCAAGGCACGCTTTCAGTCAAACTGCATGGCACCACATTATCCACAGCTTACAGTCGTCAGTTCGCAGAACAGCAGCTGATTTGAAATGTGTATCAGCGCGAGCTCTGTTTTGCGGTGAGTGTGTCCAAAGATGCTGTATTGATGATGTTTGTGTTTTCAAGGCAATTGGCCTCACTAGAGCAAACATCTAGCCATATGTTTTTTGTTGGTACGTCTGATTGATTACATGGGTTGCCACCTGAGCACTGAGAAGAGGCGGGTGCGAGAGCTGCGGCAAAGCCGAAAGCAGCAGAAAAGAACAAGTCTGCAACGGACGACGAAAACGACACAGACGACGACGAGGAGCCGAGAAGACACATTCTGCTGCCACTGACTGTTTCCTCTGCTGGTTTGCCTGTTGCTTGCCCTCATATGCTTGAGCGCAGCATAGCCAAGAAGAGCCTGCTGTTTGCCTTAAAAGATGCTTGGCTAGGTACATGTCAGCGATCGCCCTTGATGCACATTTGAGCACGCTAGAAAGGACGGGCGAAGGATAGAGTTGCATTTGAGATCTTTTCTTTGGTGGTTGTCAGGCCATGGGGCACAGCCATGATCAGAACAATGAGCGCAGCCTTGACAGTAATCGACAGATCACGCATCACCCCTGCAGTGCTGACGCCAAACCCGTCAGAGAGTGACTTGATCCCCACCGCCTTCAACATGGGATTTGGGGGAGGGGGGTGACCCCTCGAATTCCATTTATGGTTTCATTTCCCTTTTGTGGGGGAAGACAAGGTAAATGGAATTGCGGACCCCCCACCCCTTCCTCCGTAGGGTAGGGGGGGGGGTGGATGTGACCACGGGAACTTTGCAGGCAGGAGGAGCCAAAGAAGTTCCGTCAGAAGCTGCTCCAGCAAAAGCAGTTCCTCCAGAGAAGGCAGAGGCAGGAGTCATGGATACATCAAGGATGTGTTTTCCTGTTTTCCCAATGTTGTCCAGAGGTTTAGTTAGCCACGTGGCGCGTCTTGACTGGTCACCTTCTTGTTTGAAGGTGAGGTTGGTAGAGCTCATAAGCCAGACGCAAGACAGGCGTTCAGGCAAATTGCATGCATATTGTCCACGGCATACAGGCGTCAGTGCGCAGAACAGCAGTTCATTTGAACCGTGCATCAGCGTGAGGTTCTGTTTTGCTGTGAGTGTGTCCAAAGATGGCCTTAATGGGCGTGAATCTGCCATACGCATTGTGGCGTCCTCATTCCACTTTGGTTTAAGACCAGCTGTGGTCAACACTATTTTCAGATACAAGTAGAGCATTTGCCCTTGCAGGCTAAGTTGAAAGCCCGTGACAGAACATTGAGGGCCCCGCTTGGCTGTGACAGTCGGCGCTGGTGCTCATTGCGCAAGAACACTTGCAAGAATCAGCGTTTTGGTGCAGTGGCTGAACGGATTGAAACTTTCACCTGGGTGCGGGCTGGTTGAACAGGGTTGTTTTGACGAGCGCTGAGATGTTGGGCACAGGGGCTAGGGAGAGCGGGGCTCTTTTGAAAGATGCAGAGAGAGAGAGAGCGAGAGATCGAGAGATGATGCATGCAGGGTCCAGTTGAACAGCGCGTGCCTGGCCCGGCAAGCTTGAACATGCTTTTGCTTAGAGTGAACCATGCACGTTTTTTTACGCACCATGGCCCATGCAACGTGTGCCCTAACTATATTGATGATGTTTGTGTCTTCAAGGCAAGTGGCATCACTTGAGCAAAAATCTAGCCAAATGTGTTTTTTTGGTGCGCCTGATTGATCACATGGGTTGCCACCTGAGCACTGAGAACAGGCGGGTGCGAAAGCTGCGGCAAAGCCGAAAGCGGCAGAAAAGAACAAGTCTGCAACGGACGACGACAACGACACAGACGACGACGAGGAGCCGAGAAGACACATTCTGCTGCCGTTTGCCTGTTGCTTGCCCGTTTTCGTGCGTGCGGGCTGCCTTGCCTGCCTTGCTGCGGTGGGAGACGTGTGTTTCTTGAGCATTCAGCGCGCGTTGTGCCAGCACTGGCATTTTCCGACAACGATGCCCGCCCTTGTTGTGCTGGAATTGGGGACCCCCCCCTTTTCTGTAGGGTAGGGGGGGGTGGATGTGACCACGGGAACTTTGCAGGCAGGAGGAGGCAAAGAAGTTCCGTCAGAAGCTGCTCCAGCAAAAGCAGTTCCTCCAGAGAAGGCAGAGGCAGGAGTCATGGATACATCAAGGATGTGTTTTCCTGTTTTCCCAATGTTGTCCAGAGGTTTAGTTAGCCACGTGGTGCGTCTTGACTGGTCACCTTCTTGTTTGAAGGTGAGGTTCAGGCAAATTGCATGCATATTGTCCACGGCATACAGGCGTCAGTGCGCAGAACAGCAGTTCATTTGAACCGTGCATCAGCGTGAGGTTCTGTTTTGCTGTGAGTGTGTCCAAAGATGGCCTTAATGGGCGTGAATCTGCCATACGCATTGTGGCGTCCTCATTCCACTTTGGTTTAAGACCAGCTGTGGTCAACACTATTTTCAGATACAAGTAGAGCATTTGCCCTTGCAGGCTAAGTTGAAAGCCCGTGACAGAACATTGAGGGCCCCGCTTGGCTGTGACAGTCGGCGCTGGTGTTCATTGCGCAAGAACACTTGCAAGAATCAGCGTTTTGGTGCAGTGGCTGAACTGATTGAAACTTTCACCTGGGTGCGGGCTGGTTGAACAGGGTTGTTTTGACGAGCGCTGAGATGTTGGGCACAGGGGCTATGGAGAGCGGGGCTCTTTTGAAAGATGCAGAGAGAGAGATGGAGAGAGAGAGCGAGAGAGCGAGAGATGATGCATGCAGGGTCCAGTTGAACAGCGCGTGCCTGGCCCGGCAAGCTTGAACATGCTTTTGCTTAGAGTGAACCATGCACGTTTTTTCTACGCACCATGGCCCATGCAACGTGTGCCCTAACTATATTGATGATGTTTGTGTCTTCAAGGCAAGTGGCATCACTTGAGCAAAAATCTAGCCAAATGTGTTTTTTTGGTGCGCCTGATTGATCACATGGGTTGCCACCTGAGCACTGAGAACAGGCGGGTGCGAAAGCTGCGGCAAAGCCGAAAGCGGCAGAAAAGAACAAGTCTGCAACGGACGACGACAACGACACAGACGACGACGAGGAGCCGAGAAGACACATTCTGCTGCCGTTTGCCTGTTGCTTGCCCGTTTTCGTGCGTGCGGGCTGCCTTGCCTGCCTTGCTGCGGTGGGAGACGTGTGTTTCTTGAGCATTCAGCGCGCGTTGTGCCAGCACTGGCATTTTCCGACAACGATGCCCGCCCTTGTTGTGCTGGAATTGGGGACCCCCCCCTTTTCTGTAGGGTAGGGGGGGGGGTGGATGTGACCACGGGAACTTTGCAGGCAGGAGGAGCCAAAGAAGTTCCGTCAGAAGCTGCTCCAGCAAAAGCAGTTCCTCCAGAGAAGGCAGAGGCAGGAGTCATGGATACATCAAGGATGTGTTTTCCTGTTTTCCCAATGTTGTCCAGAGGTTTAGTTGGCCACGTGGTGCGTCTTGACTGGTCACCTTCTTGTTTGAAGGTGAGGTTGGTAGAGCTCATAAGCCAGACGCAAGACAGGTGTGCAGGCAAATTGCATGCATATTGTCCACGGCATACAGGCGTCAGTGCGCAGAACAGCAGTTCATTTGAACCGTGCATCAGCGTGAGGTTCTGTTTTGCTGTGAGTGTGTCCAAAGATGGCCTTAATGGGCGTGAATCTGCCATACGCATTGTGGCGTCCTCATTCCACTTTGGTTTAAGACCAGCTGTGGTCAACACTATTTTCAGATACAAGTAGAGCATTTGCCCTTGCAGGCTAAGTTGAAAGCCCGTGACAGAACATTGAGGGCCCCGCTTGGCTGTGACAGTCGGCGCTGGTGTTCATTGCGCAAGAACACTTGCAAGAATCAGCGTTTTGGTGCAGTGGCTGAACTGATTGAAACTTTCACCTGGGTGCGGGCTGGTTGAACAGGGTTGTTTTGACGAGCGCTGAGATGTTGGGCACAGGGGCTGTGGAGAGCGGGGCTCTTTTGAAAGATGCAGAGAGAGAGATGGAGAGAGAGAGAGAGAGAGCGAGCGATGATGCATGCAGGGGTCCAGTTGAACAGCGCGTGCCCGGCCCGGCAAGCTTGAACATGCTTTTGCTTAGAGTGAACCATGCACGTTTTTCTACGCACCATGGCCCATGCAACGTGTGCCCTAACTATATTGATGATGTTTGTGTCTTCAAGGCAAGTGGCATCACTTGAGCAAAAATCTAGCCAAATGTGTTTTTTGGTGCGCCTGATTGATCACATGGGTTGCCACCTGAGCACTGAGAACAGGCGGGTGCGAAAGCTGCGGCAAAGCCGAAAGCGGCAGAAAAGAACAAGTCTGCAAGGGGCGACGACAACGACACAGACGACGACGAGGAGCCGAGAAGACACATTCTGCTGCCGTTTGCTTGTTGCTTGCCCGTTTTCGTGCGTGCGGGCTGCCTTGCCTGCCTTGCTGCGGTGGGAGACGTGTGTTTCTTGAGCATTCAGCGCTCGTTGTGCCAGCACTGGCATTTTCCGACAACGATGCCCGCCCTTGTTGTGCTGGAATTGGGGACCCCCCCCTTTTCTGTAGGGTAGGGGGGGGGTGGATGTGACCACGGGAACTTTGCAGGCAGGAGGAGCCAAAGAAGTTCCGTCAGAAGCTGCTCCAGCAAAAGCAGTTCCTCCAGAGAAGGCAGAGGCAGGAGTCATGGATACATCAAGGATGTGTTTTCCTGTTTTCCCAATGTTGTCCAGAGGTTTAGTTAGCCACGTGGTGCGTCTTGACTGGTCACCTTCTTGTTTGAAGGTGAGGTTGGTAGAGCTCATAAGCCAGACGCAAGACAGGCGTTCAGGCAAATTGCAAGCACATTATCCACGGCATGCAGGCGTCTGTGCGCAGAACAGCAGTTCATTTGAACCGTGCATCAATGTCAGGTTCTGTTTTGCTGTGAGTGTCCAAAGATGGCCTTAATGGGCGTGAATCTGCCATACGCATTGTGGCGTCCTCATTCCACTTTGGTTTAAGACCAGCTGTGGTCAACACTATTTTCAGATACAAGTAGAGCATTTGCCCTTGCAGGCTAAGTCGAAAGCGCGTGACAGAACATTGAGGGCCCCGCTTGGCTGTGACAGTCGGCGCTGGTGTTCATTGCGCAAGATCACTTGCAAGAATCAGCGTTTTGGTGCAGTGGCTGAACTGATTGAAACTTTCACCTGGGTGCGGGCTGGTTGAACAGGGTTGTTTTGACAGGGAGAGATGTTGCATGCAGGGGTCCAGTTAAACAACGAGTGCCTGGCCCGGCAGCTTGAACATGCTTTTGCTTGGAGTGAGCCATGCACGTTTTTTTTCTACGCACCATGGCGAATGCAACGTGTGCCCTATGTGTATATTGATGATGTTTGCGTTTCCATTGCAAGTGGCATCACTGGAGCAATAATCTAGTTTTCTTGGTGTGCCTGATTGATTACATGGGTTGCCACCTGAGCACTGAGAACAGGCGGGTGCGAAAGCCGCGGCGAAGCGAAAAGCGGCAGCAAAGAAAAAGTCTGCAATGGACGACAGCGACACGGACGGCGAGGAGCGGAGAAGACAAATCATGTTGACCCCGGATTAATAAACCCCTGTTCTTTAAATATGGGGGTGTCCCTGGTTTTAGTGGGGATTTTTCACTTTTGGAGAGGAGCCCCCCCCATATGAATAAGCAGGTGTTTATTTTTCCGCGGTCGACATTACTGCTGCCACTGACTGTTTCCACTGCTTGTTTGCCTGTTGCTTGCCTGTTTGCGTGCGTCCAGGCTGCCTCGCCTGCTTGCCTGTGTTGATGCCTTGCTGCTCTTTAGCTGGTACTGCTGCCTGCTTGCTATCCTGCTTGCCCGGCTGTTTAGGTTTGGCCTTGGCTGCGTTTTGGGTTGGTTGCATGGCCAGATTTGGGGTGGATGAAGGGTGTGCGTGTGTGTGTGTGTGCGCGTGTTTTTGGTTGGTTCAAGCTGGTTCAAGCTGGGTTTGAGGGTGGGTGTTGGTTGAATGTTGGTTCTGAACAGATTTCACTGTTGGTTGAGTTGTGTGTTGTTTCCCCTTGCGGGTTTAGGATGGTTGTGAGTGCGTGTGATTTGGCGTAGAGTTGATTTAGGTTTGGCTGGTTTGGAAAGGGTTAAGGCTGGCTTAGTTTAGCGTTGATGTGGGCTTGATCCAGGGTCGAAACAGAGTTGGTTGGTTAAGGGTGAATTCGCGGTGCTTTGAAGGTTTAACTGATGAATTAAGGTTAACTAAGTAGAGTTGGTTCGAGGTTGGGTGTAATTAGGGTGCTTCAGGGGGCAGGTCGGGTTTAACTTACTTAGGTGATAGTGTGTTGAGGGTCGGCTTGTTGTGGATGTTGGATTACTTAGTTGTTGTTTTGTTCTTCTTCCGCTGGGTGTGGGATGGTGTTTAGTTTCCGCAGAAGCCACCCAAATGCCTCAACCCAACCAGCCAAAATGCCAGAACACCAAAGCCCAGATCCGGGTACAATAGGAGCAACCAAGCGTTTGGCTTGAATGGCTTGCCAGCTTGCTTGCTTGGCCCTTGCGTTTCATTTTTGCTTGTGTATTGCTGCCCTGCCGGTTGCCGCGGCTACAGATGCATACAAACTTGCAATTTACGAGATGATTCTGGGAAGAAGTCCGAGTGAAGTGTCCCTTTTTTGGCATGTGCCAGGCGCCTACGGCTCGGCCACCCAGAGTCTACAACCCGCACAATCATCGATTCCCTCCTCCACAGTGCAATGCGCCTTGCTGCAAAAGTCAAAGGCTGATTCACGAACCAATAGATTCGCCCTTGGCCATATTGGGGCTTGTTAGCGGCTGGCTTCCCACAAAAAAATCATGGTTACCGGGTATTTCAAAATCAAACCGTGGGGTTATACAAGATATTGTTGACAGATGTGTATATTTGATTTGAACATGCAGTCTTAGATGCTTAGCATGTGCCGGTCGAGGCCAGATTCCTGAGGAAGATTGGTGTGATCATGGAGGAAGAAGTCCAGGCTGGACGGCGCGCATTGCATGGGTTTTTGAGAGGCTAGGAGATGTCAAAGTCATGGTCACACTGCTTGGAGAACTGATAGGGTTCAACGTAGGTACCGTAGACAGGCACTTGCCATCACTTGCCCAATTGTATGGAGCCATGTTAATTATGTGTCCATGATTTTGTTAAGGAAAGTGCAGGCTTCCAAGCAATACGCTGTAGGCAAGTGTCATGAGGCTTGTCCTTGCCGAGCGCTGGCTGGCCCGATGTCAACCAAGTTGTTTGCCAGGTGGAATACGATGAGGAGGAAGCGAATAAGCCCTGGAAATTAGCCAAGGCACGGCTCTATCAAGAGAGCACCTGTGTCCTGGGTACTGGGCATTTGGACTTGCATGCTGCACAGGTTGCATGACAAAGCTTTGTACGCCTTGGCAATTGCTGGTGCCACCAATCCGCATACTGAACTGTCGCGAGGGACGAGGTTTGAATCTTCTTAGAACATCCGTTGCTCAAGCTGCTGGCGACTCGAACACTTGCATGGCTGCCCTCACCAGTAGCTTGCCAGCCGAATTGAGTGCTGGCAGCTGGCGCAGAGCAATTTCACATGCAGGCTGTTGCAAAACCTGCGATGACAAGTGGAAGTGCCCAAGCAAAGAAGGCCAGAAGTAGCGGACACTTGCATTGATCCCTGGCGTGTTCGTGTGTGTGTGTGTGTGTGGGTGCGCGTCTCTGTTCGTTTGGTGTTTCTAATCCTGGGTCTGCTCCTGTCTGGCTGTGTGCGTGTGCTCGTTATTACGTTTGTGTGGTGTGGGTATATGGTTGCGTATGTGTTTGTCATTTTGTGTTTGTGTCTGTGTGTGTGTGTGTTTGTTTCTGTGTCTGTGTGGCGTTTTGTTCGTAAGGCAGGTAGGGAGGCAGTCAGCCAGGCAGGCAGGAGGGAAGGAGGGGGAGAGAGAGATAGATGGATATGTCTATATATATATATATAAAGAGGAAAATACGTTACTTTGAACGACCGCGACATTTACCTGCTTCGAGCGTGCATGGTGCGGGTTGTTGTGCATTCGTGTGGTTGCTTGGTTGCATGTTTGGAAGTCTTCATGGTTGCGCGTTGCGTGCTCTGTGGGTGTGTTGCTGGCTTTTGTGCTGTGCACAATTGAATTTGACCAGGTTGATGGCCAGGTGGGCATGCCCGATGTGTTTGATTCGTAGGGGGGAATCTGCATGAACCTGCCTGGAGAACCAAACGCCTGCAAATCCAATGGTTTGATGCTTGCTGAGTTCGGGCCGCAGGATGCCAAGCCAAGACAGCAGCCTGAAGATGACACTTCTGAGGACGAAGACGAGGCAGGGCTGAAGGGTGACAGTCACGAACAAAATATGATACTTGTAAATATGATACTTGTACCAGGGTTGGCTGCTCAAGGTGTTGGATCCTACCATTCCAGTTCGCAGGTTGCTGCCAAAGCCGGTGCCCAAACAAAGCAGGCCAGGAGTAGTGGGGATGTTGATCATTTGTGTAGTATGTTCCCTGTGCACCTCTCACGTTGGATACTTCCGCGCACATCTCCCTTATGCATCCTCGTGCGCAATTGGCCGTCAGCACAGCACGGCAGCACGGCAATGCGTTTTTCAATCATAATCAAACGCACACCCAGTGGCTGCTGGGTTTTGCTGGATGCTTCTTGACTTTTGCAACAGGATGCCAAAGTAACACAGCAGCCCGGAGACGATGACGATTCTGAGGACGAAGATCAGCAGGAGAAGGCGGGGCGGCAGTTCGGCAGCACGGCAGGGCAGCAGGACACCCCGCTGTAGACAAGGCCACCAGCATTCATACTGGCCAACGGCAAAACTGGCGGCCTGCATACGCTTTCGGCATTTGTGTCAGTGCATGTGAGCATCAAGATGTTGGATCACACCGTTCCTGCTTGCAGGCAGCGGCCAAAGCAGCGGCGAAAAATGGAAATGCCCAATCGAAGCAGGCCAGATGGGAGCGTGTGTTGACTGTCCTCGCGTTGTGGTTCAGAACCATTGGCCTTGTGTGAACGGGTGTTTGCGTGTGTGTGTGTGCCGATTGTGATGTCTGGAGTGCCTTTCCCATTAAAATCATGGTTGATTTTGTTTGTAAATATCTAGCTCTTGGCTGGTTGGTTACCCTTTTGCATCCTCATCCCCGATTTGTGCGGCGCGGTAGGACATTAGGTGTTTTGAGCCAACCTGCTCTGGGGAATCAATGCTGTGTGCTTGCTAAGTGCTGGCAGCAGGACGCCAAAGTACCAAAGCAGCCTAGAAATGATGAGGACACTGAGGACGAAGGTGAGCATGAGCAGGCAGGGCGGCAGCGGCAGTACGGCAGGGCAGAGCCTAGTATTAGAGCAGTTCCAAATTTCCAGAGCGGCCAGTAGCCAGCATGTCCGGCTCACTGCTTCAAAGACCAGCCGCAGACTACACACGCAGCTACGCGACGCCCAAAGAAAAACACTTTTTCTTGACTAAAATCATGGTGATGCTGGCGGTGTCTAGAATTCAAGACTGTCCCAGAATGGCCTCGATCACCTGAAGGTGCCCAAAAGTCCTTTCACCTCCGTTCACATACTCAGCCAAACACAATTTGCATTCCAGAACGGCGCAAAGCAGTGCAGGCGCCGGTGTCTAACGTAACAATCAGAGCAAAGCCAAGTCAGCAATATCCCCGGCCACGGGTTGCATGTGTAACTCGTGATCCGTACTTCCATGGAGATGCTGGTGGCGTCGACAGCTTTACCCTATGGGGCCTGGTCCCAGATGGGTGTGGAGGAGTTTGCTATCCGCGTGTTCTCTACGTGCCCCACCCTTCCCAGACGCCTCCGCTTCGGGGAACGAGGGGTCGGCAGATTTGGACAGCTGCCAAAGCAGCGCTGCAAGATAGAGGTGCCGAGTCAAGACATGCCAGAAGCAGCAGGGAACCGTGGGTTTAGCTGCGTTCGCTTCGTGGCTCAGGACCACTCGCGTTGCCCGTAAGTGAACGTGTTTGCGTGTGTGCGTGTGCATGCCCCTGCCCCTGCTTCTGCGCGTGCGTGCGTGTGCGAATGCGTGTGTGCGTGTGCGCGAGTGCGCGCATGCGCGCGTGCATGCGTGCATGCGCACGCATGCGTGCAGGCGTGCAGGCGTGCAGCGTAGGCGTAGGCGTAGGCTTGGGCGTGGTGTGTGTGTGTGTGTGTCTCTGTGTGTGTGTGTCTCTGTGTGTGTGTGTGTCTCTGTGTGTGTGTGTGTGGGTGTGGGTGTGGGTGTGTGTGTGTGTGTGTATGGGTGTGGGTGTGGGTGTGGGAGTGTGTGTGTGTGTGTGTGTGCGCGTCTCTGTGTGTCTCCGTGTATCTCTGTGTTTCTCTGTGTGTCTGTGTGTGTGTGTGTCTCTGTGTGTCTCTGTGTGTCTCTGTGTGTCTCTGTGTGTCTCTGTGTGTGTGTGTGTCTGTGTGTGTCTGTGTGTCTGTGTGTGTGTCTGTGTGTGTCTGCGTGTGTCTGTGTGCGTGTGAGTGTTAGTGTGAGTGTGTGTGTGTGTGTGTTTGTCGTGGTGCCTTGCCTTGTTCCCTTTCATTATTGTAAGTATCCCAAGCTGTTAGTCAGTTGGCCGTGCCCCTGTTGCATCCTGCTGCCCTAATTGTGCAGCACGGTTGGTCTTTTGAGCCAGCCTGCCCTGGAAAGCGAATGCCATATGTTTGCTGAGTTTGGGCGGCAGGATGCCAAAATGACACAGCAGCAGCCTGGAGAGGACGAGGATTCGGAGGACGAAGAGGCGCAAGCAGGGCGGCAAGGAAGCTTAGTTAGTGTCGTGCGAAGATGTGTGACCTTTAACACCCGCTTGCTCATATGTACAAGATCCAGAGCGTTTTCCAATCTTTGTGCAACATGTAATTAAGTTTTGTAGCATGTTACTCTTGCAGCCAACAGCTGACACGGCAAGCCTTCTTCGTTCTTTCAGCGAAGTTTTCTTGGCCTCGTGACAACACACCATGGTTGCCATGCATGGATGGGCACATCTCATGACCTTGAACCTTAAATAGGTGCAACAACTGCTTGACGGCCATCCAACACTCTGAAGCTGAGCTGACGACCGGACAATTTCCAACTCTCAGCCGCGAACGAGAGTTGCAGTCTCTTTGCGTTGAACACTGCTGAGGTGTTGCTGAATAGTTGTGGCCTTTGCACCATTCCTTTTTGCAGGCTGCTGCGAAAGCTGCGGTGACCAATGGAAGTGCCCCGTCAAAGCAGGCCAGAAGTAGCCGAGAGGTGTGCGGCTGTGTGTTAATTAAATGTGTTTGTGTGTGCGTGTTTTCAGATTGGATACCTCTGGCTGCCGACAAGTTGCTCATGTTTTGCATGCCTCCATGCAACCTCAAATGCAGCACAGTAGCACAGAAGGCCACCAGGCTTGACAGAGGGCGCGCTTCTCTCTGGAGCCAACAGCCGACCTAGCCTGTACAATCAAAAGCCGAATCCATGGATGCTTGCTGAGTTCTGGCAGCAGGATGCCAAAGTAGCACAGCAGGATTCTGAGGATGAGGAAAAGCAGGAGCAGGGCTGGATGGCTGGGCAGGTTGGACTCCACGTGCGCCTGGGTGTTGGATGTAATAGTTCTTCAACACATAAGTCTCGTTTAGGGTGTTTTCTTCTTGGCAGGTAGATACAATGAGACGTTGGTTGCCTTCATGCGGGACGGGGTTGGCTGCTTGGGTTTGTTCACCTTGGCACACGAGAGGCGTTTGATGGCAGCGTTTTGCAGTTTCCGCACCTAATGCCGTGGCACGTTGATGCAGGAGCCATGGATTCAGTGAGCAAAGTAAGTGGCTTAGCTGCAGGACGCCAAAGCTAAAGCAAACCAGCCCAGAAATGAGGACGAAGAGGCATGGCCGGTGAACATTGCCAGAGCAACATGTTCGCAAAGACTTTCCTAAAAGCGCACCTTGACCCCATCCTTAATCCAACCCGAAACCTACCCTGCTTAGCCCTGCTCCAACCCGTATACGCCAAGCTTGAGCCAACAAAAACCCATATTCCTCGACCTAGTCCAACCATAGCCGCCTCAAGAACGCTCAATCTTCCAGTGAGCTCGAATGAGCCATTCTTTGCAGCCAACTGCTGCCTGGCTGTTCGCACGCATTCAGTGCTGCACCTGAGTTAAGGCGTTTCTTGATTTTCTTGAACATGTTGTTTCCTGATCAACGCCGATACGCGCCGAAGGTTTTTGCTGATTGCTGCAAGAATCCACTTGCTGCAAGAATCCACTGTCTGGCTACTTTTGGTTGGACGTCGAGTCCTGTTTTCCTGTATCTTTTGACAAAAGACCTTAAACTAGTTTTCAACTCAGGAGTGAGTAGATGTAACTGTGCTTGACCCAGCAGTTGTTTGCCCGAACTACTTGTGTTTTCCCGATGCGAGCTTACTGCCACTGCGCCACATCTATAAGCAGCCGCGGTGCTCCCTGCACGACTTCCTCACATGTGAGGGGTGCTATTTGCGTGACAGGGCGCGCATTGGCATGTTCAATGCTATTGCTGGCAGAGTGTGTTGGACAGTAGCGTTTCCTCGTTTACCGCTATGGTGGTAGACTGCTGGGATTGTGGCAACTGGCATTCGGCGAGGGTGGAGTTTACATTTTCAACTATCCAGAACATGTGGTGGCGGGGTGTTCTGTGTTTGCTGGATCCCTTTGCCAAATTTGGAAGCGGGGACCAATGTTTTGATGTCGTTTGGCCGCAGCTGACCACATTCCGTCAACTACGCTTCTGAATCAGGTCCTGCAGTTTATGAATTGAAATGTTTGGACTGGTGACCAATGTTGTGTTTGCTCAACTGGGGAAGTCGCGCAGAACACCTAAGCACTGCGCCTTTAGAACGCGCTGATGGACGGCCCATTTCGCCCAGTGCGGCTACCTTCCATGTTCAGTTCTAACTGGATGGTGCCGGAGGATTGGGCCATGCAGGTGGTAAAGCCAAAAGCTGCAGCGCATGCGGAGAGCGGCGAGAAGGCGCCAGTAGCGCATGGATGCAAAGTTGCCATCATGATGCGGTAGAAACGGGATGGCATGGTTTGTGGGGCTTTTAACGTGGTTCTCACCCGTAGTACGGCACTCAGGCTGGGACCGCGAAGAGAAGACTGAGGGCCGCTGCTGCTTCTTCGGATGAGGAGGAGAAGAAGCAGGCGAAAATGGGCAATGTGCGGCTTGATGATGGATTTGAGACATTCCCGTCATTCCCGTGTCAAGCGACAGTAATCAATTAGGTGAAGGGAACGGATGAACTCTAGCTGGCCGAAACGGCACGGCGTGTGGGATGGAGCTGAGCTTCAAGATGCCCAGTCCAGAGGGCTCAGCGTTGCTGGTATGCATAGAGGCCCTCTGGGAGGCTTTCGGAGTGCAGCACCCATTGAACCAACTGTTTCCGACAATTTTTGGAAGCTCCACCAAACCTAGCATGAGTTTTGACGTTAGCTTCCTAACACATTGATCAGCTTGCACACAGGTGCCAGCGCCGAAAGCTGGGAAGAAAGCCCGCAAAAGTGGCGGCAATAGTGCCGAGGAGCAAGCATGAACCTACCTTTGCAGAAACTTGTGTAGACATGCTTCGCGTGCCGCAGGAGGCACCGGAGGAGGCCCCGCAGAAGGAGGCGCTGCAGAATGAACCGGCAGCAAAAAGATTGAATCGACGCAAGTTGCAGTTTGTTTTTTGCCTGTGGTCTTGTTCAGTCAGACTAGTTTGAGAAAGTCTAGGTTTGCCGCCCCTCGCCTGCTGATGATAATTTCGAGTCAACGATGACATTCTGAAATGTTTTTTTGACGAAGCTTCCCCAGGTTCTTTCATGCTTGTCTTCTCTCCTTCCTATTTACAAACGGACCCCCAATAATAAAAAAAAACCTCCAGCCGACCCAAAATATTGCCAATACTAAATTGTAAATTGCCGAATGCTAAACCAAGTCTACACTCCTCAAGAAACCAGATGAACTCCGCCAAGATTAGGCCACTTAAGCGGGAAAGTGTTTTTTTAAATCATTGGAGTCCATTAGGCGACCCTTCGCAAGGTCTTACTTAAAAGTTGTATTCTGAGCGCTTTTTCTTTTCAATCCAATGGGCTGTCTTCCCGGAGAATTCCTTTAGGAGGTCTTACTCAAGACAGTTGCATTCGGAACACTTGTTGTTGCAAGTCAATCATTGTAAAAGCACTCCGAGGCAACGTTTATGTTGGGGGGGGACCGTTCATTAGCGGGGCCGCATAACTTTGCATACCGTCCTTTACAGGTGCCAGCACCGAAAGCTGGGAAGAGAGCCCGCAAAAGTGGTGGCAATAGAGCCGAGGAGCGAGCATGAACCTACCTTTGCAGAGGCTTGCTCAAGTTCCCGCTCGGGCGCTTTTTCTTCTGAATGTCCTATTCCGAAATGACGAGTTTCCAGGTTTTGCTTCAAATTCTATCTTCTCTTTGGCTGTTTCTATTTGTCGGATCCACTGGTTATATGCATTGAACCACGGTGGAGGAAAACATGTCTAAGCGTTTGTCGGCCGAAGCGCTTCCAAGTGTTTGTCAGATGACGAATTGCACGCTGTCACACGACTAGAAACACGGCACAACTGCTGCATACTCGCAAGGAGCAACAGAATCCTATTCAAAGACTCAATTTGAATCCGTTTCTGGCGCAGGAGGCGCCGGAGGAGGCACCGCAGAAGGAGGCGCTGCAGAATGAAAGGATTCAAGCGACGCAAATTGCAGTTTGTTTTTGGCTGCGGTCTTGTTCAGTCAGACTAGTTTGTGAAATCTGGTCTGCCACCTTTGGGCCTACGCTGGAATGGCCTGCTGATGATGCTTCTGAGTGAGCGATGCAATTCTCGGATGTCTTTTTCAGGAAGCTTTTCCCAGGATCCTGCATACTTGTACTGTGCATACCATTCTGTACAGGTGCCAGCGCCGAAAGCTGGGAAGAAAGCCCGCAAAAGTGGCGGCAATAGTGCCGAGGAGCGAGCATGAACCTACCTTTGCAAAGGCTTGCGTAGACATGCTTCGCGTGCCGCAGGAGGCACCGGAGGAGGCACCGCAGAAGGAGGCGCTGCAGAATGAACAGGCAGCAAAAAGATTGAATCAACGCAAGTTGCAGTTTTTTTTTGCCTGTGGTCTTGGTCAGTCAGACTAGTTTGAGAAAGTCTAGGTTTGACGCCTTTGGGCCTAATCACGCTGGAACATGGAACCCTCGCCTGCTGATTATATTTTCGAGTCAGCGATGACATTCTGAAATGTTTTTTTTTGACGAAGCTTCTCCAGGATTTTGCATACTTGTAATATTTCCTTCCTATGTACAAACTACCCCCAGTAATAAAACCCCTCTAGACGACCCACAACTTTAGAGCCTCCGGCTCAGTCCGCCGACATTGTCCTCTCCCTCTTCTCCTTCTTCCTCTCTCTCTTGTCTCCTCCCCCGCGTGTTCTGTCGTCCTCTCTCCCTCCCTCTGCTCCCCACCCTCCCCTTCCCCCCGAGCCTCGCTCTCCTCAATCTCCCTGTCTCTGTCTCTCTGTTTCTCTCTATCTCTCTATCTCTCTATCTCTCTATCTCTCTATCTCTCTATCTCTCTATCTCTCTATCTCTCTCTTTCTCTCTGTGTCTCTGTCTCTTTCTGTCTCCCTGTCTCCTTCCTGTCAACGCCCCTCTACAGAAAAAGGGCACCCTTATTCTAACCTCTGTACTGGAGGCTCGCTCTTTCTCTCTGTCTCCCTCTCTCTCTCTCTCTTTCTCTCTCTGTCTCTCTGTCGCTCTCTCTCTCTCTCTGTGTCTCTCTCTCTCTCTCTCTTTCTTTGTCTGTGTCTCTCTCTTTGTCTGTCTCTCTGGCTCTGGCTCTGTCTCTCTCTCTCTCTCTGCATTGCAGCGTCACGTCCCCCCTGAGTTGCCTCCATGTCCGGACACTGCCCCTTCATGACCCTGAACTGTCATCTCACTACTGGCTTTCCCCTTGATTTCCCCTTCATGTCCTTTTCACGTTTCCCATGATGTCCTGGTCATGTCCCTTCCATTCCTTTCAACTCCCCCTTCATGTCCCTGTCATTTTCTCAGCATGTCCGCTTCACTTTCCATGCATGTCCCGTTCTTTCGTTGCGAGTCAGACCAATCCTTCGCAGGTGCCAGCGCCGAAAGATGGGAAGAGAGCCCGCAAAAGTGAGGCGCCGCAGAAGGAGGCGCTGCAGAATGAGCTCGTAGTTGCAGTTTGTTTTTGGCTCGCGGTCTTGTTCAGTCAGGCTAGCTTGTTGAATCTGGTTCGCCACCTTTGGGCCTACGCTGGAACGGCCTGTTGATGATACTTCTAAGTGAGCAATGAATTGTCAGATGTTTTTTTGACGAAGCTTCTCCAGGATGTTGCATACTTGTACTGCCTTCTTCCTATTTATAAACGGACCCCCAATAATGAAACCCCTCCGGCTATACTGCCAATACTAATTTTAAGCTGCCCAATGCTAAACCAATACTAAACTCTCTGGAAACCAGATGGACTCAGCAAAGACTGGGCCACTTGAGCGGGAAAGGTTTTTATCATTCGGGTCCATTCGGAGCCCTTTGCAAGGTCTTACGCAAAAGTTGATGTCTGAGTGCTTTTTCCTTTTTCAACTAATGGGTTGCCTTCCGGGAGAATTCCTTTAGGAGGTCTTACTCAAAACAGGTTGCGTTCGGAACACTTTTTGGTGCAAATCAACGGGTCCCTTTTCGAATTGGACATCTGAAACGGCTCAGTCCAAAAACTCGAGGGGTCGGGGGGGGGGGGCCGTTTATTAGGGGGACCGCATTGCTGTGCATACCAATCCTTTACAGGTGCCAGCGCCGAAAGATGGGAAGAGAGCCCGCAAAAGTGAGGAGGCGCCGCAGAAGGAGGCGCTGCAGAATGAGCTCGTAGTTGCAGTTTGTTTTTGGCTCGCGGTCTTGTTCAGTCAGGCTAGCTTGTTGAATCTGGTTTGCCACCTTTGGGCCTACGCTGGAACGGCCTACTGATGATACTTCTAAGTGAGCAATGAATTGTCAGATGTTTTTTTGACGAAGCTTGTCCAGGATGTTGCATACTTGTACTGCCTTCTTCCTATTTATAAACGGACCCCCAATAATG